CTCTTATCTACACCAGCACATTTAAGATTTTAGTAATATTCTTTCATTATCTTTATTTTATTCAGCCTGTAGTGATTTGCTCTTCTCATTTGGCGGGGCTGGGAGAGGTGAGGGTGATAGGGGGTGGGGAGGAGGGGGTGATGATGATCACCTCATGCCCAGCAGTGCTTGGGGGCTCAGGGGCTATTCCTGGCTCTATGCTCAGAAGTGACTCCGGCAGTGCTCAGGGCACCATAGATAGTGCCAGGGGTTCAAACTAGGATCATGTTCACTGCAGGTGTTGCAAGCAAGTGCCTGACTCTGCTGTCTTTCTAGTCCCCTCTTTTAAAAAACAAACAAATAAAACAAAACAAAAACCCACAACCAACAAAATCACTGTATCATTGTCACTGTCATCACTGTCATTCTGTTATTCACCAGTAATATCTCCATTCGTCCCAGCCCTGAGATTTTAGCAGCCTCTCCTCACTCGTCTTTCCCAATGCTGCCATATTAGAGGCTCTTTTAGGGTCAGGGGAATGAGACCCATTATTGTTACTGTTTTTGGCATATCGAATACACCACAGGTAGCTTGCCAGACTCTGCTGTGCGGGTGGGATACTCTTGGGAGATTGCTGAGATCTCCGAGAGGCATATATATATTTTCCCTCTCTGATTTGTTGCCTACTGTACTGCACTGCACTGTCCTCCCATTGTTCATTGATTTGCTCGAGTGGGCCAGTACTGTGTCCATTGTGAGACTTGTTACTGTGTTTGGCATATTGAATACGTCATGGGTAGCATGCCAGGCTTTGCCATGCGGGCGAGATACTCTCTGATAGCTCTCCCAGAGGGGCGGAGGAATTGAACCCGGCTCGGCTGGGCCAGCCGCACGCAAGGCAAACGCCCTACTGCTGTGTTATCGCTCCAGCCTACAACCAAGAAAAAGACCTTTAAAATTAATTAGTTAATTAAATTTGGGGCCGTACTTGGTGGTACTCAGGGTCTACCCCAGACTCTGCTCAGGAACCATTCCTGGCAGTGCTTGGGGAACTGTGTACCAGGCTGGAGGTTGAACCAGGTTTGGTAACCTTCAAGGCAAGCTTCTTCCTGTATTATCTCTCTCAACCATTATTTCTCACTCTTGATATTGGTCACTTTTGTACTTGCTTTCTTTTGAAATTTGATAGTCTCCCCTACAGGTTTATCTGTTTTGTTCATCTTAATGAAATGAGTTAAAAGTCCATTAATATAGGGGCTGGAGCAATAGCACAGCGGGTAGGGCATTTGCCTTGCACGTGGCCAATGCAGGTTCGATTCCCAGCATCCCATATGGTCCCCTGAGCACCGCCAGGGGTGATTCCTGAGTGCAGAGCCAGGAGTGGCCCCTGTGCATCGCCAGGTGTGACCCAAAATACCCCCCCCAAAGTCCATTAATATAAATAAAAAACCAGGGTGCACTACTGAGTGACTCATTTCAGGTCGGGCTCATTTTCCCTGTCTGGTGGGAGCCTGCAGGAGCATCAGTGTGAGCAGAGGACTGTTGATCAGGAGTGCTGCTAACTTTGTGAGAATTTACTGAGTTGTTGACTTGATTATATAGGATCTTTTCTGTATGTGTGCCCATGTTCAATAAAAGCAGCTTAAATTATGTGCATGAGAAATCATTATTAGTAGTATTATAAACCAATCTGATTTTGAACATTTAAAAAAATTCTCAATTAAAAATTTCAAGAAATAAAAGCAACTTAAAAATAAAACAAAAATGTAAAGATCCAGGGATGTGGCTTAGTAGAGTTCATGTAATATGCACCAAGGCCATGGGTTCACTGCTGGCCATTGCCTCGCCATTGCCAAGTACAATCCTTCCCTGCCTCCTCTAGTTTATAACAATATTGTCACAAAATGGCCTGGAGCGATAGCACAGGGGGTAGGGCATTTGCCTTGCATGAGGCCGACCTGGGTTCGATTCCTCTGCCTCTCTTGAAGAGCCCGGCAAGCTACAGAGAGTATGTCGCCCGCACGGCAGAGCCTGGCAAGCTACCCGTGACGTATTTGATACGCCAAACATAGTAACAAGAAGTCTCACAATGGAGACGTTACTGGTGCCTGCTCGAGCAAATCGATGAACAACGGGAGGACAGTGCTACGTGACAAAATAAAAATAAAACATAAAATAGGAGTGTCTTGCCAAAGTAAGTTCAGAAAGTATCTCTGGGGTCAGAGAGACTTGTCAGGGGTTAAGGATTTTGCTTTGCATGAGGCCATCTCCAGTTCAATTCATTTGCTTTGCATGGGCCGGACCCCTGTTCAGGCCCTGATACACATCCTTCCTGAGCACCTCGAGGAATAAACTCTAAGCACGGAACCAGGAGGAAACTCTGAGCATCACTGGGTGTGCCCCCACCAAAAACCAATACAGACAATAAAAAAGATATAAAAGAATATCAATCTTCCCAACAAATCATAAGTTCTTGCTTTAAGATTTTCCTTTCCGGGTTTGAGAAATAGTACAGCAGGTAGGGTGCTTGCCTTGCTCATGGCTAACCCTGGCATCCTCCTGAGTCCCACCAGGAGTGAGCTAGGAGTAAGTTCTGAGCATTAAAAAAAAAAAGAATTAAAAAAAAAGGGAAAAAATATTTCCCCCTCATTCTTTCTGCTAATCCTTGACTGTCAACTTTTTACCATTTGATTCATAATTTATCTCCTCCAAGAATGCCCTGCTTGTCACTATTTCTGGAGCCTGGGGACTACTCTATATAGAGGTCATTCTATAGAACTTTTATTTATATTATTTAACTTATGTCTATTTATGTTTTACTTTGAATTCAAAGCATGTGCCAGGACCAGGAATGTGGAACAGCTCATGCTTGCATGTTGAAGGCTTGGGTTTCATCCCTGTCTCTGCAGTAAATAAATAGGTGTCAATATATATGTCTTTATCTAATAAGTAAGCACCTGGATTATTTTGTGTAAATTGGATTTTAGAAAATCCAATAATACTTTATTGAGAGGCTGGAGTGGTAGCAGAACTGGTAGGGTGCTTACCTTGCATGTAGCCAACCTGGGTTCAGTCTCGGCACCCCAATATGGTCCCATAAGTTCCACCAGGAGTGATCCCAGCATGTGGAGCCAGGAGTAAGCCCTGAGCATTGCTGGGTGTAGCCCCAAACACCACCACCACCAAAATATAATAATACTTCATTTATATGTCATAATCTTAAGCCCCTAGCACAAAGACAATTGACTCCCAGGGGAAAAAAAAAGAAATGAAAGATTATTCATACATTAGAATGTGTTTCTAATAATATTCAGTATTTAGGGCTGAAGAGATGGATGAGTGGGCTGAAGAGCATGTTTTGCATGCAGAAGGCCTGAGTTCAATCTCTGGACCTTCATGCTTCTCCAGTTATCCACAGGAGTGTCAAATTTGTTTAGCTCCTGAGCACTGCTGAGCATAGTCCCCAAATAAGAAAAAAAGTCAATATTTAAATATTTAGAATGCTAAATATTTTGGCCCATTCTAAAATTCTAAAATATATTTAGTTTAAATTATTATTTTAAAGTTTTTTCAGTCTTCTAACCCACAAATATTTTCGTTTTTTTTTCCTTAGTCTTTATCTGTTGATACAATTACTCTGCAGTGTATATGCGTAAATTTTATTTAACTTTCAGAAGTCTCAACATTATTTTATGGGTAATTTTATTAACTATTACAGCTATAATTTTTTTATGACTACATATATTTGGTTTACTTAATAGTTTTTATCCAGCTGACTATTTTTATGGTTTCCAGAGTTCCTCAATTACAAATAAATGTTATTATGCAGAAGCTTTGTAAATACAATTTTGTTTTATTTAAAAGTTGTTGTCTGTTGACAAATTCTGAGTATGATTATATAATCAAAACCAGGACAAGAGAAATAGGCTGGAGTGAATGCTTTGCATGCAGGAGGCTTGGGTTCAATTCCTGACATCATATGGTCCCCCAAGCAATACCAGGAGTAAATTGCTAGCACAGAGCTGTGAGTAGCCCCTTAGCACTATTGTTTGAATTATTTTAAGCATTAAGAACTTGTGCCAATGTGTCAAACAAATAAAAAGAAACAAAATTAAAACAATAAAACCCCCAAAACTAGTAGTCTGTGGGATTACGATGATATTTTTGGTATTCTTTGCTCATTTTCTTTAAAGTAATTTTATTATTTAAACTTGAATAATAATTAACAAGGTAAAAATGGATCTAGAATGATAGTACAGTGGGTAAGGCACTACCTTGTACATGGCTGATGTGAATTCAACCCTGGTGTCCCCTCAAATCTTCTAGGAGTCACCCCTGAGTGCACAGTTAGGACTAACCCCTAAGCATCTCCTGGTGTGGCCCCAAACCAAAAAAAAAAAAAAAAAACCCTTTCCTACCAGGATTTAATAACTTTCTTTTTCCTGTAAATTATTTCTACCATATTATTGTGTATTGGGATTTTACATGTGTGTTTAAACCTATAAGTAATACATAATCATATTGATTATACAGTTTTTAGCATATTCTTTTTTCTCTGATTTTGATTTTTTCAGTATACAGAAGGTTTTGAAAAGCTTTAGAGCATTGTATTTATGACTGTTCTTGGTAGGTGGCATTTTCTTTTACATTATAGTGGAATAGTCTTTATTTGCTAATATATTTGTAAATAAAATTGCAAATAGCGCAAATTGTTCATTTGTGTCACTGGATAGTTGTGGTTTTTTTCTTTTGTTTTGTTTTGTTTTGTTTTGGGGACAGACCTAGTGGTTCTCAGAGATTATTTCTGGTTTCACACTCAGGAATTACTCCTGGCAGTTCTCAGGGGACCATTTGGGATGCCAGGGATCAAACCTGGATTAGCCATATGCAAAGCAAATGCCCTACCCTCTGTACTGTCTTCCAGCCCCAGACACTGGATAATTTATAAAGGGTTTTTTGTCATGTTATTTTCTTGTTTCTATGAATGTTACTGTCTGTGTTCCATCTCTCTCCTTTACAGGCACCCAACAGGAGGATCCTTTATTCGTCCAAACAAAGTAAATTTTGGAGTAGACTTTCTCACCGCATTGAAGAATCGCTATGTGTTAGAAGATGAATCAGAGGATGCTGGAAAGGCACACCCAGTTACCTTTGGGAGGAAAGAGGTGAAGACCATTGGTTTTGACTCTGTTAAAAAATGGCAGAGGTAAGTATCACTGATCATGGTAGAGCTAACTTTGAAGATTCATCGTGGTTCAGGATTTAGGTTCACCTGCCTTGACTGTATGATGCACAGAAATTTGCTCCTCAACAGGTCTATGCTTTATGCACAAGCAGCCAGTTGAAATGGGAGATATTGGAGAATTGAGAATTCAGAGAAATTAAAATCCTTATTTTAGCAGAGGTTTATTGGACGTTGGGTTGAAAGTAAAATATTGATTTGCTTTGTACTAATAATTATACCATTTGAATTTTTTTTTCTTTTTGGGTCACACCCAGCGATGCACATGGGTTATTCCTGGCTCATGCACTCAGGAATTACTCCTGGCAGTGCTCAGGGGACCATATGGGATGCTGGGAATCAAACCCGGGTTGGCTGCGTGCAAGGCAAACGCCCAACCCGCTGTGCTACCGCTCTAGCCCAATATACCATTTGATCTTGTATTGATTAATTGTTAAGTAAAGTTGATCTTTACTTACTTGACCTTTTCTCTTTTTTTCTTTTTTTTTTTTAAACAGGATCAATTATTTATTTACTAAATCACTGTGGGAAAAGTTACAAAGCTTCAGGTTTAAGTCTAGGTCATGCAATCATCAAACACATTTTCATTCACCAGTACTTATTTTTCACCACCAAGAACCCCAATATACCCCCCTTCCCAACCCTCCCAATGCCTGTGAGGCAGATGAATTCTAGTTAACACTATCTGCTTTGATTAGATTCATTGTTTCGACAAAAGATGCACCATTATTATTTAGAGCTTACACCCCAAAATCAGACCTGCTGAAAAGGCATTGTGAAATAATTTGTTTTCTACGGCTGGTTACAAGAACCAAATGATGTTGGTTTTGGATTTTGGATTTCTGATATTTTACTTATTAAGCTTGGAAGTATTTCTGCCGAGAGTCAGATAATTATGAGATTGGTTTCTGTGGCTCTGGAGCCATGGCTGTGCTGGAGAGCTGCTCGTGGGGGGCAACTTGTGACCTTGGTAGGGCGTGAAGGACGAGTCGGGAATGCCCCCCCCCCCTTCCCATGAGGTTTCAGTCACCCCGTCATGACCGGCTCATTCCTGACTTTCCAAAAAGCTCTGAGGTGGCTGCCATCTTGCTGTCCAGTTACTTGACCTTTTCTATCTGATAGGACTTTTCCAGCTGAATGATGTCAGGTGTGGAATCCAAATTTTTTGGACTTTTGCCTGTGCCATGTAGTATGTTGGTATTATCTAATTGCAAGTGTTTCCCATATCTGGCTGTGGAAAATTTATTCCCTGGGCACTTCTGAAACTTGCAGCAGCCATCCTAGACCTACTGAATCAGAAGTACCCCCAGTTATCTTAGGGACACTAAATGCATTTAAAACTGCTAGGCTTGGGTTCAGAAGTAGTACAGTGGGTAGGGCATTTGCCTTGAACTATCCCAGAATCCCAATATCGTCCCCAAGCACTGCCAGGAGTGATTCCTGAGTGCAGAGCTGGGAGTGACACCTGAGCACTGCTGGATGTGACCCAAAAACCGAACAACAAAAACTTCTGCTAAAAACCCTAATGTCCTTGAGAACTCAGCGGTACACTGTGGTCTTCTGAGGTGAAGCTCACTGAACTGTCTGCATCAGAGCGTTTAAGATGATATTCATACAAAAGCACAATTGCTCAGGAGCCTTTCAGGTTCCTAGTTTAGCAGCAGTGCTATGTTGTCTGACGTTGATATCAAAGAGGTGTCTTAGTAGTGACCCCTGGTGGCCGTTACAGAGAACACAAATTAGCACGTGGGATCGTTCTTTTTATTTCTGTTGTTATTCTTAAATTTTTTTTTTTAAACATGGGTCATGAGCATTAAACAAAATGATAGATTTTTTAAAAAAAGCATAATTTGACTTAATTAAAACATGTTTTCCTGGTTGAAAGTTTAGAAAATACAAATTGAGCAAAAAGAAAGTCATGATTAACACCACCATTAAGGGGCAACTATTATGAATGTTTTTCGCTATTTATCCCTCTGATTTACTTGCCTTTAAAGAACCATGTACTTCATAATGTTAGAGTTCTTTGCTTTATTTTTCCATTAGAATGAGAATACTTAAATATCATTTACTCCAAAAGAGACTCTTTTATTGAGACTTTTTTCTTACCAGTTAACATCTATTTTTTCTTCACAATAATTACCATGAGCTCTGTGAATATTAACAAATTGCTAGCAGATTTTCTTCCCCTTATTATGAATGACTGTACAACTCATGAATATCTCTGGTGAATGAGAATACTATTTGAGTATCAGTACATTCAATAATTAGCTAGTATTTGCTTGGAATGCACCCACTTTGGAGTCAGTTGGGCTGGGTGCATACATCAGCTAAGCCACTGTCTAGCTCCCACACAAGACATAATTTATAAGCCCAAGGCTTCTCATTTATGAAACAATACCTAAGCAGGTAGAGCTGCTGTGAGTAGCAGCTGTTGTGAATTGGGCAGTGCTTGCCTTGCACGTGGCTAACCTGGGTTTAATCTCCAGTAACCCATATTGTCGTCCCCCGACCCCAGTCCTCCAGGAGTGATCCCCTGAGTGCAGAATCAGGTGTGTAACTCTTGAGCATCACCAGGTGTGGCCCCCAAACAAAAACAAAACAAAAAACATTGTTATGTATGACTTTTTCTTGGAGTTGCTTTTGGCTCTGGAGTGATGGCAGCATCAAAACACCAGGATCAGGGCTGGAGCATCAGCACAGTGGGCAGGGCATTTGCCTTGTATGCGGCCGACCTGGGCTCGATTCCTAGCATCCCATATGGTCCCCCGAGCATGGCCAGGAGTAATTCCTGAGTGCATGAGCCAGGAGTAACCCTGTGCAATGCCAAATGTGACCCCAAAAGCAACAAAACAAAACAAAACAAAAACAATCACCAGGGTCCTTAGGTTTTGTACTCAGATCCAGACCCCTCAGCCAATTGAAGGGCAGTACAGGCAGGGTATTTTTTAATTTTAGAGGGAAACAGTGACATCTGTCGGACATGGTGCAAACTCCTATTTTTGTGACATTCCTACACTTCCTTTTTTGACAAGTTTTTTTCTCCCTGCAAAGCTGGGACTTTGATGTAATTAAAAAGGAAGCTTTGGGGCTAGAGAGAGTACAGTGGGTAGGACACTGGCCTTGCACGCAGATGACCTGGGCTCGATCCCTGTCATCCCATATGGTTCCCCAAGCAAAACCAGGAGTAATTCCCGAGTACAGAGGCAGAAGTAACCCCTGAGCTTCTCTGGGTGTGGCTCCCTGCCCCCTCCAAAAAATAAGCATCTCCTGAAAATCATCATGAACATTAAATAGAAGCGGTGAAACTCTAAACAGCTCATGAATGCCCTAGAACTTTGCTGTTGTTTCTCCCCCTAATTTCTGATAATTATGATAGTCAGTGCCTTGCATTTTGGTTTAGTGTTTCTCCCAAAGGCTGGAAGGTTTATTTTTATACTTATAACTTACTGTATGTCAGGCAGAATACTAAAAGCTGTAAAAAATATGAACTAAATAAATATAACCTTAAAAATGTGAAAAATACCCAGCACAGTTGTATACTTATTACCTCTGGGCAGAAAGAGAAAAGATATAAAAGGCTTCACTTACATTTATAATGTGTTTAATGCTTTTTAAAAAAAATCTTAATAGTATTTAATTTATAAGTTTGCATGATGGGATTGGTATTTGTTATTTCTGGTACTTTTTTTTATGCCTGAAATGCTTTTTAAATTTTTTTAAGGGGCCCGTTGAATTGAATAATGTGCATGTCTATGTATTCATATGCACTATGTGTTTTCTTATAGTCAACTGAGCAAGCTGCAAGAAATTTCTCTGCGGAGCTGTGCTGTAAATAGTGCTGGTGACAAAGGAGAAATTGCCAAAGTGTGTCCTAGTATCCTTTCCAGTGTGATCTGACCTGAGGCATTTTCCCTTTTCCAGACACTTTCAGTTGTCTCCCCAGTGCTCATTCTCCCCAGCTTCTTCACAGCAACTTAGTTTTATGTGAGCGAGTCACTGCCCAGATAAATGATCTGCCACCTCACTCCATCCCCGACTCCCACCCCTGCCCCAACCCAGGTAAGGCAGTGTGAGAGAGTGAAAGTATGGGCTGTGTCGTTGGCAGCATGGCTTGACCTCTCCTTTTGCTCATTGTCTGTTAAGCTGGCTGCACCCTGCCTTGAGCACAGAGTTGCAGCCCACTTGGAGGTGTGGAACTGGGGAGGGGGGCTTGGAGAAGTGCCCGCAGTCCATGGGGCAGCCTTCCTGTGTGTGAAGAAGAGAAACTTGTTCCTCTCTCAACTTCCTGTTTCAAGCAGCTGAATGCAGTTTGTGGTGTGCGAGGGACTGAAGCCAGGGCCTTCACGGGAGTGAGGCGCATGTGCTCTCCCACGAAGCCTCACCCTGGCCTCGTAGCAGTCTTGTTATAGTATGCACCATAGGCTTAGCTAAAGTGATTTGGGGTGAGTGAGAGTACAGTGGGTAAGGTGTACTACTGACCTGAGTTTGGTCCCTGGCATCCTGAGTCCCTCCAAGAGGGATCCCTGAACACAGAGCCAGGAGAAAGCCCTGAGCACAGTTGGGTGTGGCCCAGAAACAAATACAAAACCAAAAAATTAAATGAGTCTTTTCTTCTCCACCTTCTCTTTCCAGTGTTCCCCTCCCCCCCACTTGTTATATATTGCTTTCGTGCTCAAAACTAAGCTTATAGGGAATGAGCCTAAGAAAAATTTCCAATGGGAAATCAAATTTCCATTCTTCAACCTTCAAAGATATCGTAGTTCTTTGGCCCACTGGTGTCTGCATAGTAAGGTGTGCAAAAGGTTTATAGTCCTTTTCCCTTGTGCAAAGAGATAGCAGATGAGGAGCTCTGACACTGCCCTCCTTCCAGCCTTCCCCCACCCCCCCTGCTCAGTACAGACTTGATGGTCTGTACTGAAATCAGAGCAGAACTCCCTGAGTCATGTGCCCGAAGTGTAGGTTCCCTCGGCTGTGCAGTGTATTGGGACCCTCAGTTGTCTCTGCCCTACTGCCCCAGCTAAGCAGAGGTGGTTGATCATTTATTTCCTCCACAGGTTGGGCTGTGGAGTTTGGGAACTCAAAGCAGAGGTGGGCATAGTTTGGTAAAGAGCAAAAAGCCACAGAGGTATCTGCAGTATTCCTAATCTGCCTGATTTACCCCTTGATGATCTCACAAGATCTCGTGACTCCAGGCTTACCTACAGCATATTAGCCAAGATCTGGTCAATAGATCTGTGTGGGAATTTTTGATTGGGCAGCGGTGTCAGCAAAACACCAGAGAATCAGCATCTTGCTTGTTTATACTGTTCTTTCCTGGAAAAAAACACACTCCAATGCTTGAAGAGAGGAGGTTTCATGAGATAACCAAATCACGTTTGATATGTGCAGATGCAGCGTTGAATGTCTTGTAGTTCCAGAGTGATTATTTTCCAGAAGCATTGCTGCCTTTGGAGCAATGTGTTCCCTCTGGGGTTGATCCTTCTTTTGAAGTGACTCACTCTGCAGAGACAGAGGGCCATGGAAATGTTGCAGGTGTGAGCATGTCAAGTGAAGAGCTCCCCTAAGGTAGGATGGGCCTCATGCCTTCTATGCACTGTTCCTCTGAACTTCCGGGAGAGGCTGCCAGTGAAGCAAGATTTGTCTAGCAATAGCATTCCATGGACTGTGTGTGTGTGTGTGTGTGTGTCTGTGTGTCTGTGTGTCTGTGTCTGTGTGTCTATGTATGTGTGCGCACGCATGCACATGTGTAGGTGGCCACTGCATTAACAACTGTTAGACTGTTCAGAGTTGATTTTAGCATATAGATGGTCTGTTGCTCTGAATAGGTCACCAGGAATATTTATAATTCCATCCTATACAGTAGCCAGTTTGGTGAGTAAGGCTTACACCCTTTCTAAACAGCCCAGTGGCCTGGACCAGCAGGCCATATGAGACATATGGACATATGAGAGGACTGGAGTTTGATCAGGAGGCACAGAAAGCTGCCAGGTCAGCCACGAATGAGGGTGAGCCTCTGGGTTGGAGAGGCCTGGGAAACAGAGGAAGTAGAAAGTGGGGCAGGATGAGGGGATGCGGGGGGAAGGGGGTGGAAGAGCCCTGTCTGGGTCAAGCCCAGCTCTTCTCCATCACCTTTGAGTTTCTGGGAGAGTGAGTGTGAGGTGCAAGGCTGCTCAGCAGGATGGCCTCGAGCGGCCCGAGAATATCTTTGTGGCATCTGCTATTGGAGTTGCTTGCCACTTTCCTTCTGCTTGATATGACACCAAATGGGTGGTCATTATTCTAGGTGTGGCAGAAAATCCCAAGACCGTTAGAGAAACCCAGCTCCCTCTGCAGGTCCCGCACCCCCCACCTCATACACCTGAACATCTCTCCGCCAGTAGTCAGCTCTGTGAGCTTTGAAACATGCGATTCAGCATCCCATCACTGTAACTTTTTTACTTGAGCTTTTTTGTTTTTGTTTCTCCTGGCTCTGTGCTCAGGGTTCATTCCTGGAGGGACTTGGGAAACCATAGGGTTGCCAGAGATTAAACCAGGATTGGCCACATGCAAGGCAAGCTCCCTACCTGCTTTGTTATTGTTCCAGCCCTAGCAGGCTTTGCTTTTCAAGAGCCAGAGATAAAAATGTTAGGTCTGTGGCCCACAGGCAAACTGGAGGGTTTTATGTGGAGACTTATTACCACCTAAAGTGTAACCCGAACCAGGCAGCTGGTGGGCACTGGCCACAGCTGAGCATTTCTGCCTCTCTAAAATTGTTTCCTTCTTACCCAACTTGTGGGTTAGTGACTCTTCTGTATGAAAAAATAATTTTAATCTATGTTTGAAAATCTATTGCTTTGGACGTCTAGAAAAATGGTCTTGGATGGAGTGAGATTTCCCCCTGGTTAATTCGCACAGTGCCTGACGTCTTGGTTCTTCTTTCCCCTCAATAACCAATTTTCTGCAGTGTGTTGGGAATGTTTCAGACCTTTGACCCTTGGCTTTTCTGTCTCCACCTACCCCGATCGGATCTTGTCTGGACCTGGGTCTCTTCCTGTGGATGCTGATGCTTCTTTCCGTATGTCTTTAGTCAACACTGCTGCCCTCTCAGAGTTTTCTCTTTAGTTATCTATTTTTTGTATATCTAATAGCCATCTGTAACCTAACATTTTATTTTTATTTATTTAGTTTTGATTTTACTAGTTTATTTATTTAGTTTGCTTTTGGGGCCATACATGGCTGTGGTCAGGACTTTTTCCTAGTTCTGTGCTCAGGGATCACACTCTAGAAGGGGCTTGGGACCATATATGGTGCCAGGGATTAATCTTGTTGGCACTGTACAAGAAAGTGCCCTACCTGCTATACTATCTCTTTAGCCCTGTTTTATTAATTTTTTAAATTTGGGTTTTTGGTCCACACCTGGCAGTACTCAGGGCATACTCCTGACTCCGCTTAGGACCCACTCCTGGTAGAAGTTTTCTCGGAACCACATGTGATGCTTGGGATCCAACCTTGGTCAGCTGTGTGCATGGTGAGTTTCCTACATGCTGTATACTATTTCTCTGAGCCCCACTTTATGACTTTAAGTTGGTGTAATGGAGTTCGCTTAATCAATCACACTGAAACCATCTTTAGGTGAAAAAGCAAAGAGATAGAGTTAGTTATTTAACATCAAGACAGATCGTAACTAGGCAGTCACCTGAAATTGTGACCCCCAAATACTGGATCAGAACACTTTCTGTTGTTTTTGTGCCACATCTAGTGATGATCAAGGGTTACTCTTGGGTCTGCACTCAGAAATTTGCACTCAGAAAGTTGCACAATAAAACTTTAAGAAAGGCTTAACAAGTTTAATTTTTATTATTATTTTTTATTGAATCACAATAGATATACAGTTACAAGGTTGTTCATGATTGGGTTTTAGTTAGATAATGTTACAATACCCATCCCTTCACCAGTGTACATTTCCCACCACCAGTGTCCCAGTTCCCAGTTTCCCTCAACCCCACCACTACATTCCTCTGTGGCAGGCACTCTCTCTCTCTCTCTCTCGCTCTCTCTCTCTCTCCTTTTGGGCATTATGGCTTGCAATACAGATACTGAAGGATTACCATGTATATCACTTTACCTACTTTCAACACTCAGTTCTCTCCCCCATTCCTTTTTTTTTAAGGCGTGAGGTGTGAGGCTGGAGCGATAGCAAAGGATAGCAAAGCAGGTAGTGCGTTTCCCTTGCACTTGGCCAACCCGGGTTTGATTCCCAGCATCCCATATGGTCTCCTGAGCACGGCCAGGATTAATTCCTGAGTGCAGAGCCAGGAGTAACCCCTGTGCATCTCCAGATGTGACCCAAAAAGCAAAAACAAGAAGGAGTGAGGTGTTCATAAAACGTGTTTCAAGAAGAATAGAGGTTATCAAGAGGAAGATCCTGTGCTCCAGTTTTCAGAGTTTATTATTGTATGTTTTTGATGAATCCTTCGGTTACTGTTTCTTAACGTATGCCTTTAGACATTAGGGAGCTAGATATGTCGAAAAACCTGCTGCCGTCCTGGGATGAAGTGGTTCATATTGCTCATCAGCTAGAACATCTGGAAGCTCTTAATCTCAGGTAGGCACCCTGGGTGGGCACGGTCACGAAGATATAACCCCTAATCTCTCCTGGCTCCCTTGCAGCGTCTCTGTGGGAATGAGGAGGAAAAGACGACTGGTTCAATTTACCTGAGCTCTAAGTTTTTCCCTGCTATTATTGGATTATTGGCCTCATGAAGTGAGTCGGTTGAAGGGAATGCACTCGGCGTTGAACTGGGTGGAGGGAGACACCGGCAGGTATACAGTGCTTTGAAAGATTTTTATATTTCTTGACGGCCTGACACAAGCAGATGGCCTGTCTGGGGGAGTGGATATTTAACTGGGGAGTAGGAAAGACATTTGCTCATTCTGAACTGTCGAGTACTTAATTGCTTTAGGAATGCATTATTTCACTGGAAAGCTATTGAATTCCATTCTATCTTTTTTTCTTTTACCAATTTCCACTAACTTTAACTTTTTTTTTTCCCCTTTTGGGTCATACCCGGTGATTCTCAAGGTTTACTCCTAGCTCTGCACTCAGCAATCACTCCAGGCAGTGCTTGGGGGACCATATGGGATGCGGTATCAAACTTGGGTTAGCCGTGTGCAAGGCAAATGCCCTGCCCACTGTACAACCGCTTCGGCCCCACCACTAAATTTTTTTTTTTTAAACTAGTATCAGAGTTTTCTCTGCTTTTTGAATGTTTCATTAGTTTTCATCTCTGAATCTGACTTCCCAGGGATCAGTCAGGCTTCCCCTTTCATCTTTGAACCAACTTTACACAGAGCTCCATGTACATTAGCGTATGATTATAGTTATATATTTGTACATACAGTGCATGGGTGAGCTGTCTTCCCAGGCAGATCAGGGTAGCAGCTTGGTCTAAATTAGTTGTACTCCCTGCTAGAGCAAAACGGTGTCCTATGGTCCATATTGTCTCATCTGGGAATAAGGGGACCTGTTTTTTTGTTGTTGTTGTTTTCTTTTTTTTTGCTTTTTGGGTCACACCCGGTGATACTCAGGGGTTACTCCTGGCTCATGCACTCAGGAATCACTCCTGGCGGTGCTTGGGGGACCGTATGGGATGCTGGGAATCGAACCTGTATCGACCATCTTGGCTGCGTGCAAGGCAAATGCCCTACTAGCTGTGCTATCGCTCCAGCCCCAAGGGGACCTGTTTTAATGGTATCTTCTTTTAAAATGATTGTTGGGCTGGAGAGATAGTTCAGTTTGCTGGAGGGCGTCTTGCATGCAGACTCTCCAGCACTGCATGGTGCCCTGAGCACTGCCAGGCACAGCCCTTAAGCACCACTGCGTGTGGCCCTTATCAATCAATCAATCACTTAACTTCCCGTTAGTCGTTGATTTGCTCGAGCGGGCGCCAGTAACGTCTCCATTTGTCCCTGTCGCGTGCTAGTGTAGCCCAATGGCATCTGTTCGCTCCGGGAACATGAAGGGCCTCAAACCGATCGATCATGATCTTCACGAAGAAGTCTGACCATCTGAGAGGTGGGCGGCCACGTGGTCTTTTGACATCCCGTGGAATCCAGTCAGTAACAGCTCTAGTCCAGCGGTCGTCTTTAAATCTCATTACATGACCAGCCCATCTGATTTTTGACACCTTGGCAAATGAGACAGCGTCCCTGATTCTTGATCGTCGACGGATGTCAGAACTCCGGATTCTTTCTCTCATTTGAGTGAAACGTGATATTCCAAGCATAGCTCTTTCTATTCTTCTTTGGGAGACCTGAAACCAAACAAAACAAGAACATTATTTCCTGAGATTAGCTTCCTTTTATTTATTTATTTTTTGGGGGGGTGGGGTCACAACCGGCAGTGCTCAGGGGTTACTCCCTGGCTCTGTGCTCAGAGATCATTTCTGTTAGGGAACCATTTGGGGTGCCTGGAGATTGGAACTCAGGTGGGCCTCAAGCAAGGCATGTGTTTTACCTGCTATAATGTCTCTCTAGCACTGAGATCAAGTTCTTGCAAGGCAAATTCCCTAGTTCCCTCTGTACTATCACTCTAGCTCATTCTTGAGAGGAATTTTTAAAGATAGTAGTTTATTTCACCCATCCTGTTTAAAGAGACACTATTTGAGTTCATAATTTAACATTCTATAAAACTTTGGAGAGTGGCACTTAATTTTACAAATGAAGTCAAATTTACATGAGCCGTACGAGCTCATGTATGTAACCCTGGGTTTGATGTCCGGCACCCTGCCCCTAACTCCTCCACCCCTATGAAAAAGCCTCTTGTTTTAGGAAACATGCAGCTTTACTAGCTGCCTGAACCTTCTGATTATTTATTGGGCATGTCAGACCTAAAATTTATGTTGTAAATATTAAAAATCTGATTTACTTCATCTCAGTATACTTTTAAATAATTAATTTTTTTTTTTTGCCTTTTGGGTCATACCCAGCAATGCACAGGAGATACTCCTGGCTCTGCACTCAGGAATTACTCCTGGCCATGCTTGGGGGACTATATGGGATGCTGGGGATCGAACTTGGGTTGGCCGAGTGCACGGCAAATGCCCTACCAAACGCCCTACCCTCTGTGCTGTCACTCCAGCCCCACTTTTAATTTTTTTAAACTTTGGCCCATGCCCATCTGTGCTCAGGGCTCACTTCTGTTTTTTTTTTTTTTCTTTTCTGGTCACACCTGGCGATGCCCAGGGGTTACTCCTGGCTCTGCACTAAGGAATTACCCCTGGTAGTGCTCAGGGGACCATATGGGATGCTGGAAATCGAACCCGGGTAGGCCACGTGCAAGGCAAATGCCCTACTGACTGTGCTATTGCTCCAGCCCCACAGGGATCACTTCTGGCATGTTTGATGGACCCTATAGGGTGCTGGGGAATGAAACTGGGTTGGCTGCATGCAAAGCAAGTGCTCTGCTGCTGTACTAGCTCTTCATCCCCTCAATATAATTTCACTTTAAAGATGAAACAAACCAGTCTCCTCATACTAAATCCTAAATTGATGGGTTTTAGGATTTCTTTTTAACCACTGGTCGTGGTGCCCAGGGCTTACATGCTTGCATTTGCTCTGCTCGCAGGGATCACTCCTAATGGAGCTTGGGGGACCATGTGGGTGCTAGGATTTAATCTGGTTTGGAATGCATGCAAAGTGGGTGACCTGCCCACTATTCTATCTCTTCAGCTCATAAATTGATGTTTTCTCTTATTTTTAACTTCTTTGAGTGGAGGGTTGGGGCCACACCAGGAGTGCTCAGGAGCTATTCCTGACTCTGTGCTCAGGAGTGACCCCAATGATGCTCAATGGACCATATCTGGTGCCAGATATTAAATCAGAGTCAGCAGGTGTAAGGCAAGTGCTTTCCGCCTTCACTCCCCTCTTTTACCCTCTAGAAACCTGAGTTCTGTTGTTGGTGTTCCCTGGGTTATGACTCATCAACTTTGAGTCCGTATGTTGCATACATTGGTACCAAAGTGTCATTTTCTATGACTTTTAGTAGATCTTACTGTACATTGTATCTTCTTTTTCTATCCAGTGAAAATAAACTCAAATTTCCCTCTGGTCCACCATCTCTAATTGGAACATTTTCAACACTGAAGATTTTAGTCCTTAACCACACAGGAATAACCTGGGCTGAGGTAATTGTATTTCTTTTATTATTCAATGATAAGCAGTTTTAAATTCTTGGCTCAACAGGGAATTAGAACACAATTGTAGCTTCATTTGAATCATTAAAATGCCTTCCAGAAAGTAGTTGCACAGTCATTGCAAAATTTTGTAGCTAAGAATCCATGTTGTCCCTGACGGCTTATTCTGTTTTATTCTGGTGTGTTTCTAAACTGACACTCCTTACTGGTGTGCAGTATATATGTCTGAGCTCTCCAGTTGCACCTGGCCATTAACTGCCTTTTGAACCGTTAGCATCTGAGTGTTCCACAGAGGTGGTTTTTGTTCTGTGGGGGTGTCCATGAAGGGGACCTGGGGACCATTTCGACACTCAGTCTACTGGGCCTGAAGTTCTGTGCTAGGGCGCAGTGATGTGGCACTACTTGGGCCCAGTGCTGCCAGGGGCCCCCACAGTTAGACTGCAGTGTTGGGGTTCACTTGGGTCCTTGTATATCAAGGCATGAGCCCCTGCGCCATCTCGCAAGTTTAAACAGCAGAAAGGTTTTCACATTATTTTCCTGTTTGACATTCACTTCCTGTTGTCCATGAATATAACGGAAATTGAAAGTGGACCTGTGGATCTGATACTGCAGTGTTTCTGTCAGGGGTGTACTGATTTCCCACAGCCAGAACCTCCCATTTTCAAACCTTGTGCGCGTAAGTTGTTCTTCCACTAAGGCACCTCACCTAGAGGTGTCTCTTTAATGTCTGCCCTTAAAGTGGCCACAGCCTTGTCACTTCTTTCTAAGCCTCCTTCCTTGTGAGTTAGGTCTAGCAGGGAACAAGAAGGGAATATAGAAATTCAGGAGGCGGTGATGGTGGTAATTCAGTATATTCTTCCGCAACTCAGTATTCATTGAGAACTGAGGAAAGGTGTTCAGTATCAATTAAGTTAAGGGAGCTAGAGGAAACAGTGAGGAGGTACTGTGTCAGCATCTCCGGTTCCCATCTAAGTACAGTTCCAGGTATGCCTGAGTACAAACTTTGGTTTGCCCAGAGTGAGACAAGCATTTGCTCCCATATTAAAATGCAACCTGTTAATATTATATTGCCTGGCACTTCTAGCCTGAAATCTAATCTGTCATGGCGTGTTTGTGAGGTGCTTGATTCCTAAGCAGGAGCTAAACTAAATAAACTAACTTCATGTGGAGGTTGTAGTCATTAACATATGGGAAGAAGCAACTGCTCAAGGACTCTTTACCCTGACCTGAGTTCTCTTCCCAGCTGCTCCAGTGCGCCTCTGGGTGGCCAGTCCTTGAGGAATTGTACCTGGACGCTAACAATATTTGCATTTCAGAAAGGTAACACGTATTTACTTTATAGTATCTGTTATAATTTAGTCATTCTAATAAATAAATGGTCTCAATAATATTTTATATTAATTTTTTGTTGTTGTTTCTGGGTTACATTCATCAATTCTCAGGACTTACTCCTGGCTCTGTGCTTGGGGGGTCATATGGGGTGCTGGGGACTGAACCTGGGTCAGCTCTGTGCAAGGCAAGTGCCTTATCTCCTGTACTGTTGCTCTAGCCCAAATTGTTTTTTTTTTTTGTTTGTTTGTTTTGCATTTTGGGTCACACCTGGCATTGCACAGGGGTTACTCCTGGCTCTGCACTCAGGAATCACTCCTGGCGGTGCTCAGGGGACCATATGGAATGTTGGGAATCAAACCCGGGACTGTCTCCTGCAAGGCAAATGCCCTACCCGCTGTGCTATCACTCAAGCCCCCTTTAGCCCAAATTGTTGATTCTGGGCCACACCTGGTAGTGCCCAGGGCTTACTCCTGGCTCTGCATTCAGGGATCACGCCTGGCTGTGCTCAGATGAGTATATAGGGTGCTGGGGATCGAACTCCAGACAGACATATGCAAGGGAAATGCCTTATATGCATATGTCTTTCCGGCCCCTATGTCTTGTATTGATTTTGATAAAAGTCTTATATTTATTTGTTTTGGTTTTAGGGGCCACATCCAAAGGTACTCAGGGAATCATGAGCTTCTGGGGACTGAACTTGGGGCTCCCACATGCAAAGCATGCACTCCAACCCTTTGAGCCGTCTCCCAAGCTTTAATTTTAATTATTTGTTTATTTTTTGCTTCTTTGGGCCTCACCTAGTGGTGCTCAGGAGGTACTGCTAGCTCTGTACCCAGGGGTTACTCCTGCCTGTGCTTGGGAGACTAAAGCTGGTGTCGGATTGAACTGGGCCTGACCATTGCTTTAACTTCTGTACTATGTCTTGGGCCCTTAATTTGAATTTTTTAAATCAAATCTTATTGATTTGATACTGTTTTTTATAATACTATAAAATTCTACTAGTATAGTTCCACACCCCTCTCTCTCTTTAAGCCTGACTCTTCCACCAACAAAGTTTCATTGCCATCAGATTATCAAAATATCCCTTCTCTGCCCACCCAGCCCACTTTCTCTTTCCCTCTAGTAACCAGAGTCTGTGAGTTATTTTTTGTTGTATTTTCCCATTTGCTCTATTTGTATTACAAATAAGAATTAAACTTCTCAATCATTGTCTTTCACTTTCTCCCATTAATTTTTTTTTAAACTTAAACATCATGATTTACAAGGTTTTTCATAATACAGTTGCTTTGGACATTCAATATTCCAATACCAACCCCACCACGAGTGTGACCATCCCTCCACTAAAGCCCCTAATTACCCCCTCACCCCTCAAGCCTGTCCAATTAGCAGGCACAAACAAACTGATATTGCTTGTTACAACAAAATGGCAAATGGAATAATCAAAACATTGATAAAATTATCAAAAGAGAATCTGTGACAATTGTTATAGCTCACAGTGGTGCTACTAAAGTCCTTGTCTGAGGATTAACTGGTTGTTGCTAATTGAACCTCCTGTGTAGTTGATTGCTCTCATTGAGCTTGGTGAGTTTCTTTCTTTTTTTTTCTTTTTGGGCTGGAGCCATAGCAGAGCAGGTACGGCGTTTGCCTTGCACGGCAAGCTACCGAGAGCATCTCGCCCGTGTGGCAAAGCCTGGCAAGCTCCCCGTGATGTATTCGATATGCCAAATACAGTAACAACAAGCCTCACGATGGAGACGTTACTGGACCCACTCAAGCAAATAGATGAACAATGGGAGGACAGTGCAGTGCAGTGCAGTGCAGTGCTTTTCGGGTCACACCCGGGGATGCTCCTGGCAGTGCTCGGGGGACCATATGGCATGCTGGGAATTGAACCTGGGTCAGCCGCATGCTAGGCAAATGCCCTACCACTGTGCCATTACTCAAGCCCCTGAGCTTGGTGAGTTTTTATAAAGTAACTTTACCATCAGATTTGCAGTGCTCCTACAGGGCTGTTGGTACTGTGAATCTTGAAGGTGTTGACCTTTAATTATTATTATTATTATTTTTTTATGTAGGAGTACTGCTATTTACTGAATACAGCCACTGATTAGCTGATTGAATTGGGCATGAACTCCACCTTACTTTTTTTTTTCTTCACAATTTTATTTATTTATTTTTCTTCTTATATTTATTTATTGAATCACTGTGGGAAAAGTTACTAAGCTTTCAGGTTTAAGTCTTGGTCATACAATGATCAAACACCTCTCCCTTCACCAGTATTCATTTTTCATCACCAAGAACTCCAATATACACCCCATCCCACCCCTCCCAATGTCTGTGAGGCAGATGATTTCCACTTAACTCTTCTCTACATTGATTACATTATTTTGACAAAAGATGCACCATTATTGTTTAGAATTTCCCCCTCCCAACAATCAGAACTGCTGAAAAGGCATTGTAAAATACTTTGTTTTCTATAGCTGGTTATGAGAATTATATAATCTTGCGTGGCCACAATAGCAGCCTTGTGATTTTGGATTTCTGCAAAGAGCCAGATAATTACAAAATTGGTTTCTGTGTGTCTGGTGTTATGGCTGTGCCGGAGAGTGGTGGCCACCTTGCTGCCAGGTGGGAAAAAGGCGGAAGGGAGCAACACCCTTTCCCTCCCAGGGAGGCATGGCTGTAGTTTAATGAATGGTCCAATCACTTTTCTGCCACAAGCTGCCAGGCTCGGGATTAAGTCTTTTTGCCTCTGGAGCCATGGCCGTGCTGGAGAGCCACTTGTGGGGGGCAACTCGTCACCTTGGTAGGGCGAGAAAGACGAGCCGGTACCGCCCCCCTTCCCATGAGACTGCAGTTGCCCCATCACCGCCGGCTCATACCTGGCTTTCCAAGAAGCTCTGAGGCAGCGGCCACCTTGTATGCAGTCCAGATGCATTTCTGCCAAAAGCTGCTGGGTTTCGAGATTTGTTTCTGAGTCTCTGGGATCATGGCCGTTAATTAGCTTGATCAGGAGCCAGAGAGGCCATTTGTAGGTGGTGACTCGGGGTCTCGCTGGGATGGGGAGGAAAGGGCTGGTTCCATCCCCATCTGGTGAGGCCCCGCGTGTCTTGTCACTGCAGGCCCAAACCTGACTGTCCAGCGGCCTCTGGAGGATGGTGGTCACCAGGCCGCCAAGGGGAATAGGCCAAGGCATGAAACCTATTCCCACCTGAAGTGGCCCAGTGCCAGTAACCTACTGAAGGAACAGGATGCGATTCTGCCAAGAAGCCTTTGGGTTCCAAGATTTGTTTCTGAGTCTCTGGGATCATGGCCGTTAAGCAGTTTGATCAGGGTCTAGAGAGGCCATGCCTCCAATTATATAGCTGAGCCAGAGGTGGTACTTTCTTGGTAAACTTTGCCCCAAGTTTTTGGGGTCTGGCCAAAGGCAGCAATTTTGGGGTATCTGAAAGCCTGATGGTGCTGTCAGGCTGCTGATACATTCGCCTCAAGGACAAATTGACCTGCTGGCGGCATCATACCTCCGGACCTTTTATTATTATCATTGAAGCAAGATAGTTTTTATTGAATGAAACTCAGAAAGATACATGATAGAGGAGGGCGAGAAGAGAGAACATATAAACTTGAAGAGCAGGTAAGCAAAAGCATAGAGGCAAGCAAATCAGATATGTTCTCCCAAGCCTGTCTTTCACTTCTTTACTGATTTTATTTACCACAATCACCTTAAGTTCTGCCCATAGTATGAATTTTTAGAAAGTGATGCAAAAAGTAACTGGAAAAGTGCATATGGCTAATGGCCTTCAGAGATTAGAGTTTCAGGGCCAGGGAGACAGATTAAAGCACATTCTTTGCTCAGAATTCAATCCCTGGCATTTCCTAGTTCCCCAAGCATTGCTGGAGGTGAGTGCAGAGCCAGAGTAACCCCTGAGCACTGCTGCTTGTGGCCCACAAACCAAATGCCTCCCCCCCATCCCCAACCAAATGTCAGCTAAAACTTAATTCTAATCAAGGAGCAAACGAGCAGGGTGAAAATCCTGATTTAAACTTTTTTGTTTGGGAGCTGGAGTGATAGTACAGCGGGTAGGGCATTTGCTTTGCACATGACTGACCCAGGTTCGATCTCTGACATCCCATATGGTGGGAAGATATATGACAAACTCTCAAAGCATCCAAATGAAAGATATTTTAAAACTTTTTTTTTCACTTTATGTTTTGGTTTTGGGGCCACACCCAGTGATACTCTGGGGTTACTCCTGGCTCCTCTGCACTTAGTAATCACTTGTGGAGTGCTTAGGGGACCATACGGGACGTCTACAATCGAACCTGGGTGCAAGGAAGTGCCATATTCACTATACGATCTCTCTGGCCCCTCAAATAAAAGATATTTTAAAGAATCTTATTTATTTTATAGGTAAATGGCCATACATGTGTATTTGTGGTGATTGTTATAGTGAGTAGGGGTCACACAAGCTTGGTTGTGGTGCTTGTACACTGGGCCATGGCGCTGGCTGGGGGTGACACATGTAGTTGTGATCACACATGACGTACTTCTAGCTGTGGTGCATTAACTTTCACTTAGCCCTCACACTTGCAAAGCAGGTGCTCTGATGGCCTCTGAGCCATCCCTGGGCCTGCCAACGATGGGATTTTTAAAAAAATTTTTATTAGTGAGACATCATGAGGTACAATTGTAGACTTACAAATTTTTGTGCTTGGGTTTCAATTATACAATGATCAAATACCCATCCCTCCACCAGTACCCATTTCCCACCACCATGGATCCCAGTATCCCTCCCACCCCCCATCCCACCCTGCCTCTGTGGCAGGGCATTCCCTTTTGTTCTCTCTCTCCTATTGGGTATTGTGGTTTGCAAAAGAGGCAATGGGTGGCAATCATGTTTGGTCTATAGTCTACTTTCAGCATGCTTCTCCCATCCTGGGAGGATCCTCCCAACACCTTTATTTGGTGCTCCCTTCTCTATCTGAGCTCCCTTTTCCCCTACCATGTGTGGTTGGCCTTCAAGCAAACCACATGGAGTAAAATAACTTTGGTACATTTATACAATGGAGTACTATGTAGCTGTTAGAAAAGACGAAGTCATGAAATTTACATACAAGTGGTACTATATGGAAAGTATCATGTTAAGCAAAATGACTCAGAAAGAAAGGGATAGACATAGAAAGATTGCATTCATCTGGGGAACATAAAGTAACAAAATAGGAGACTGACACCCAAGAATGGCCGAGATTAGTAGCAGGAATTTTACGATGGGATTTTTTTTCATCCCATTAAACTTTTTATTTTGACTTATAGACTCACATGCAGTGATTGGAGCTAACATCTTGAGAGGGCTGGGGTGGGGGGGTGTCCCTCAAAGGGCTGAGTGCAAGCTTTATGTGCAGAATGCCTGGGTGCTCTCTCCAGCACCACATGGTCCTCTGAGTACTGAGAGCCACCCCTGAGTTCCACCAACAGTGGTCTAAATGTCTCTCCTCACTTCTACACCCTTTCCCCCAAACAAAAAGGAATAAAAAGAAATAATAGCCAGTGTCACCCAGTTTCCCCTGTTGGTAACATCTGGCAAAATCATGATATAAGATCACAGTCAAGACAGAAATTTCTTGTCACCTCTCAGGCCTTAGTGCCCTATTTACCTTCTACCCCTTGTTGGACTTTAAGGCCCAGTCTCTGAAAAACAAGACTGTATATTTTAAATTCATGTTGCAAAAATCTTATTTTCCATACAGGCCAACTGATGTTCTACAGATGGTCAAGATACTAGATCTTTCGGCTAATCGATTAATTGATGAAAACCAGCTATTTTTGATAGCACATCTGCCCAGGTAGTTGGATCCTAAAATAACTTTACAGTATTGCATAGTAGCTTTTTAGCACATAGATCATAAGCTTCAGATACATTTTCAATGGAAATATGATACTGATAACATATGCAAATTGAGTCATTCCCTTTGGGAAAGTTGAATTTAAAGAATTTACTTGTGACCCATATAAGGTGTTGTGTATGTCTGTACTTAATAAATGAAGAATGAATAATTTGCTCCTGGTGCTAATATCAAAAGTCTCATTGAACTTTGGGAAGTCAGGCCATATCTCTTTCTTCCTGAGAACCAAGTAACACTTAGCATATAGTTGGCACCTAGGTTCTGTTAGATTTATTAGAATACAGTATGAAGAGTTTATTTTTTGTACCCTAAATTGGACTTGATGACTCTATGCATCACACGTGGAGTGAAAAATCTAAGATGTAGGGAAAAAAGTTTAAATCTAGTCAGGATAATAGCCCATAATATTTTGTGTTCTTCTATGTAATCATGTTTAACATTTATATTTTCAGATTAGAACAACTAATCCTTTCTGACATTGGAATTTCTACAATACATTTTCCAGATGCTGGAATTGGTATATAAGATTCTTAAATTTTCCTCTGCCCACCCTCCACAACTAATTTGTCGCTTCTACTATGTAATTTAATTCTCTTTTTCCTAGGGTACAAAACATCAATGTTTCCTGCCTTGCAATACCTTGTAGTAAATGACAATCAAATATCACAAGTAAGTTCCTTCAGATAGCACATGCTACATTATGCTGATTTCCACTCACAATGGGATTTATAAGTTTTATTAATTAAGATTTTAGTTATATATTTGTACATACAGTGCATGGGTGAGTTGTCTTCCCAGGGAGGTCAGTGTGGTAGCTTGGTCTAAATTAGTTGCACTACCTGCTAGAGCAAAACGGTATTCTATGGTCTGTAATATCTCATCTGGGAATAAGGAGACCTGTTTTAATGGACAGGTGGACAAGATGGGCTGGAGCAATAGCACAGCCGGTAGGGCATTTTTTTTTTCTTTTTGGGTCACACCCAGCAATGCTCAGGGATTCCTCCTTGGTTCTGCACTCAGGAGTTACTCCTGGCGGTGCTTTGGGGACTATATGGGATGCCAGGGATCGAACCGGCGAACACCCTACCCACTGTGCTATCACTCCGGCCCCCAGTAGGGCATTTACCTTGCACGTGGCTGACCAGGCCGACCCAGGTTCGATTCCTTCGCCCCTCTCGGGAGAGCCCAGCAAGCTATCAAGAGTATCTCGCCTGCATGGCAAAGCCTGGCAAGCTCCCTGTGACGTATTCGATATGCCAAACACGGTAACAAGTGTCACATTGGAGACGTTACTGGGCCCACTCGAGCAAATCAATGAACAAAGGGAGCATGACAGTGATTAATTAAGATATAGGGAACTGAGAGATAGTACAGTGAGTGAGATAGTGCTTGCTTTCTATGCAGTTAACCTGGGTTAGAGCCATAGGGTTCCCTGAACCTCCCCAGAAGTGATTTCCTATATGTAGCCAAATGTGACCCAAGCAACAACACATCCCTAATTTTTAAAGTTTTTTATTTTTAATATTTTCTGCTTTTTTGGATCACACCCAGCTGATGCACAGGGGTTACTCCTGGCTCTGCACTCAGGAATTTCTCCTGGCGATGCTCAGGGAACCATATGAGATTCTGGGAGTCGAACCTGGGTCAGCGGCCTGCAAGGCAAATGCCCTACCTGCTGTACTATCGCTCCAGCCCCCCCTCAGTTTTTTTAAAAGAAAAGAAAAATACTACCTCAAAACCCTCTTATAAAACCAAAATATTGATGAAGAAATTAGTTGAATTTACACCAAAGCAGGCTGTCTTGTCAACTTTTGTTTTTTGTTTTGGGGCCATACCCCAAACAAAATGACTTTGTCACCTTTCTTTTGCTTGTTTGTTTTGGGTGGTGCTCAGGAGTTACTCCTGGCTGTGTACTCAGGCTCTACCTGATTCTGGCAGGGCTTGGGGGACTAACTGGGATCAAACTTGGGTTAACTGTATGCAAGAAAAGCGCCCTGCCTTCTATACTATGGCCCGGACTCCTGTCTTGTTACCTTCTGTCTTGATGCCTTCTATGTCTTGTTACCTTATGTGGAGAAGTTCATGTAAATGCAGGCTTCCTGAAGGTTCCTGGTACATGACGCGAGCTCGTGCCTTGGATGGCAACCAAGGACTGTTGCTTCTCTACTGGTGATTGAACAGCAACATGGCCTGATACACGTTTATTTTCATTGGTTCTCTGTTGTCGCATTTCAGTGGTCATTTATCAATGAGCTGGATAAGTTACAGAGTCTTCACTCTTTGACCTGCATGAGAAACCCCCTGACTGAAGAAAGCAAAAAGGAGACCAATCGTCAGCTCATCATCGCCAAAATTGGTCAGCTAAGGACCCTGAACAAATGTGAGGTGAGCACAAATCTCAGGGTCAGATCATTTACTTATTTGTTAGTTTTTCGGTCATGCTCTGGGGTACTCAGGGCTCACTTCTAACTCGACAATCAGGAAATCCTCCTGCGAGTGCTGGGGGGAACTATGTGGTGCCAGGCATGGAATCAAGAGTTGGTTACATGCAAGGCAAACGGCTTCACCCCTGTACTAGATCTCTGGTTGAGAACTAGATAATTTCTTTGTTGTTGATTTGGGTCATGCCCTCTTGCGCTCAGGGATCACTCCTAGTGGTGGCTTAGGGGACAATATGGGGCGCCAGAGATCGATCCCAGGTTGGCTGCATGCAACACAACACTGTACTATCGTTCTGGCGGTAAAAAATCATTTTTGACTAGAAAACATTATCAGAAAACTGAAAAGGAATTCTTTCTGAATATTGTATAGGATACCAGCTGTGGTTTTTCTCCAAACTGTAAAATATTACCCTGATGCATTTTCATAAGTATGGTTGAATTCCTCTGGAGGATTAACATGCTGTCAGTGCAAATATACTAGGTAATTTTTCCTCTTTCTTAGGCGAGTGGGAATATAGGCAGAAAAGTTAAACCACAGCGCTACCTTATCACTTCTCACTGTCCTTCTCATCTAGTCCGTCGTTGGGTGCCACTTGCTCTTAACTCCATCAGAGCCCAGTATGGGCTTTCACAGCTCTCTCAGGCTTGATCTTCGGTACCTGACCAGTTCAGAAGCTGGCTCAGGGCAGATACTCTTACAGATACTGACTTGTCAGGTGTATTTTTGTTTTGTTTTGGGTCAAACCCAGCAGTGCATAGGTCTTACTTCTGGCTTTGTGCCGAGGGATCACTATTGGCAGGGTTTAGGGTAATGGGAATTGAACCAGGATTGGCCACGTGCAAGGCAAGTGCCCTACCTGCTGTACTTTCTCCAGCCCCTATTCTGTCAGTGTTAAAATAAGAAAGCTAAATACAGTTATGATCTTTGTGTCTTCCACCACCCCTCTTTCTTTTAATGGTACCATGAAGAGAATAGCCCAGGACCTCATAACAATGTAAAGCATGTTCTCTCCCTTGAGAGACCATCCCAGGCCCCTATCTTGTCCTCTTCAGTTTGATTCTTTTGTAGATAGCTAGAGGAAGAACACTGTGCAAAACACATTACTAGTTATGAAAATGCTTTTTTAAAATTATTTATTTATTTATTGAATCACTGTGGGAAAAGTTACAAAGCTTTTAGGTTTAGGTCTCAGTCATGCAAATATCAAACACCTTTCCCTTTACCAATACTTATTTTTTACCACGAACCCCAATAAAACCCCACCTCCCACCCCTCCCAATGCCTGTGAGGCAGATATTAGTTAACACTCTATCTACTTTGACTAGATTCATTGTTTCGATAAAAGATGCACCATTATTATTTAGAGTTTTCCCCCCCGCCCCCCAAATCAGACATGCTGAAAAAGCATTGTGAAATGATTTGCTTTCTACAGCTGGGTTCAAGAATTAAATGTTGTCACGCGTCTGTGCGGTTTTGGATTTCTGCTATTTTACTTATTAACCCTGGAAGTATTTCTACTAAAAGTCAGATAATTAAGAGATTGGTTTCTGTGCTCTGGAGTCGTGGCCGTGCCGGAGAGCCGCTCGTGGGGGGGCAATTGATGACCTCGGTTGGGCGTGAAGGACGGGCCGGAACGCCCCCCCTTCCCATGAGGTTTTTGTCGCCCCCAGACCCCTGGCTCATACCTGCTGTCCACAAGGCTCCCATGCGGCCGCCATCTTTCTTTCCAGAGACGAAAATGCTTTTTATTTCTCTTTTGTATCAATATAGATTCTGCCAGAGGAAAGGAGAGGAGCTGAGTTGGATTACCGAAAGAATTTTGGAAGCGAATGGAAAAAGGCTGGTGGACATCAGGATCCAGAAAAAAACAGACCAAATGAAGAATTTCTTGCAGCCCATCCGAGATATGAGCTACTCTGCCGCAGTATGTATATGTGAGCTGGACGCCTTTCAGCTGAAGCTCGACCTTGCGGGGATTAAAGGGTGTTGTTGCCTTTCCCCACTTTCTTGGGCCTTTTTGTGTCTTAAGTGGGCTCCCTTTCCTTTCCTGGGGCAACTTCAGGAAAGGGAGGGAGTGCAGAGAACTAGTCAGATGTCTCCAGAGAAGAAAAATCAGCAGTATCTCTGATACTGGAGAGTGTGCAGGTATTTCTGGGAGAGATTTGCAGACAAGGAGGAAAGAGGCTCTGAACTTTGTGTTTTTCAAGGGTTTGATTTGAGGAGGCTACACCACGCTCTGTTCTGGAATGGCAGCAGGCAATCGAGTTTATCTCAACCCTGCTTACACTCTAGAAAACGTGAAAAGTTCATAGCACTTTAAGGTGAACCCACCATTGGTATTTAAGTTTTTGTTTTCCTTTTGTTTCCTGGGCCACACCTGGCCATGCTCAGGACTTACACCTTGGTTCTATGCTCAGGTGTCATTCCGGACACTGCTCGCGGAACTGAATGTAGTGCCAGGGTCAAACAGGCCGGCTGCATGCACAGTAAGACCTTAGCTCCTATTTCCTGCCACCCTTGTTATTTTGTAACCCCCACACCACACCCCCGCCAATTCTGATGTTCCTGTGAGTTTGGATGAACGCCCTTTTCTCTAAGCATTCATTCCGATGCTCACCCACATTACCAGTTTTGGCACTTGGTATGCAAGGGTGCTCGCTTGTATTTTCCAGGCTGCGTCCTCAGACTTTGAAGCTGTGGCTTCAGGACTCTTTGTCCCTGATGTACTTTCCATTTTGTTTTGACTTCATTATTATTCCAAATTTCACTTTCATGTGATTTTCTTTTATTTATATATTTCCTAATGCAAGAATTCTCACCACATAAATGCTTCAGGCTGGAACATTATCTTTGAGGAAGAAAAGCTGCCTGTGGGAATTGCTTTCAAATGACTCCATTAGCTGGCCCAATTTCCTGGCCACTTCGGTGAATTCTAAATCACTTGGTGGGGGCTGAGGGGGGGGAGGCTCACAGAGGGGCATGGGAGAACCCTGCAGATACACTTGGTGTTTCACTGCTAAGAATTCTAGGAGACAGAATGGGATACTTGGGGGTATTTACAAAAATACTGTCACTAGTTGGCCTGGCATGAGGTTGAGCAGGAGAACTGCTGTCCTTATATTCTTTTGCTGTGGCCACTTTTCTGGCCTGGCACTAGGTTTGTAATAGTGGCACTGACTATCCAGTCTGGCCTGCACTATCCGACTAAAAGTTCGTGAACATGTCCTAGATAGGACCCAGCAATAAAGAGAAACAGTTAATTGTGCATTCTAAGTATTTGAAACGTGCAACCTTGTCTTATTAGTTTGAATGAGTACAGTTTGAATTAGGACACGGTCTCTGATGATCAGTGATGTAAAGGATCCCATGCTTGAAGCAGGTGCTTCCTGTCTCCTGAAACTGGAGGTCACCGAAGGAAAGGAAGTAGATACTGGCTGTTGCTCTCTTGTTCCACGGAAAAGAAAAGAAGACTTGATGTTTATTTGTGCAATGTTTCCATTTTGGTTTGGGAGGCCATACCATAATACTCCTTGCAGTGCAGAGGGCACCATATAGGATGGTGGGGATTAAACTGGGATTGGCCACATGCAAAGCAAGTGTCTTAACTCTTGTACTATCTCTTCAGCCCTCACTTTTTTTCTTACAGTGAACTTTGGTTTATCAATCATGTCTTTAAAATTTCTTCCTTAACAGAATATGGCGCACCTGAAGATGGGGAACTCAAGACACAACAACCATTTCTGCTCAAAAACCAACTCCTAAGTAAGAACCCCACATTCACAATCAGCTTAATTATAGGAGTAGAGTACTTCAGTTCTTAATGAAATTATGGAATCTCAAACATATCTAAACTGTTATATTGATATCTTACCAATTCTCATGCTTGAAGATCATTGAGTGGTGTTATAAATGTTGGAAGCATTTCAGTTAACTAAATTGGCATCTAGAACTTTGACTTTTAGACTTGTAAACCAAGCTGAGTCAAATTTTCAAACTAAGCTAATTTTCTACCTGGCCGACCTGGGTTCGATTCTTCCACCCCTCTCGGAGAGCCCAGCAAGCTACTGAGAGTATCTCGCCCGCACGGCAAAGCCTGGCAAGCTACCTGTGATGTGTTCGATATGCCAAACACAGTAACAAGTCTCACAATGGAGACATTACTGGGCCCGCTCGAGCAAATTGATGAACAACAGGAGGACAGTGCAGTGCTACAGTTAAGAAAAGGGTTTCAAGGGGCAAAGAGAAAGTGATAGAATATTAGTCCTTCTATTTATTTGGGTGAGAGGTGTTCAAGGCTTATTCCTGGCTCTGCACTCAGGGATCACTATGGGGTGTTGGAATCTAACCCAGATCTGCTGCATGCAAGTGCCCACCTGCTCTCCAGCCCCTGCCCATCAATTTTTGTTGTTAGTAATCCAATAAAATTTGAATAGAAGAAATCAGTTTAACAATAACTCACATCCTTCGAACCAACTGAAGAAATATAATTGTTTGGAGGTGTCCACTTCTAGACTCCTAGCTGTGCTCAGGGCTTACTCCGGGCTCTTTGCTCAGGGATCACTCTAGGCAAGACTTGGGGGACCATATGTGGTGCTGGGAATTGAACCCTGGTTAGATGTTGTGCAAAGGAAGAGCCATATGTGCTGTACTAATTCTCGGGCCCAACAGAACGAATTTTAAACATCAATGAGATGTTTATTCCTTTATTAGGATTTGGGCCACATTATACCAAATAGCTGTTCATTTGGCAATCTCTGTAACTTGTATGTATAATTTAAATTTGTTTAAAGATCTCATTTTTTTTCTTATAGCATTGAAGATAAAATTTCCTAATCAACTTGATCAGAAAGACATAGAAAAACAATTGCCAGGTAAGAACGAATCTAGTTTCCCCCTGTGGGCCTGTGTGAGTCAGGTAGAAGTAAAATAGTTCATTCATATCTGCAAGTGTGGACTTTGTGAGCTTCTGAGTTGTCTAGTGTCTTCTCCCAGATAAAGTCCAGGCCTACCATAATTTTATTAGCTTATCTGGAAAATAGTTTTGTTAGGATTGGAAACCCCTGCTTATGATGTACATTGGGGGCGGGGTGGGGGGTCATACCCAGTGTGCTCAGAGCTTACTCCTGCGTCTGCGGTTAGGGATCACTCCTGGGGGGTTCAGGGGGGTGCTGTTGACTGAACCCGGGTCAGTCTCTTGCAAGGCAGCTGCTGTAAAAGCTGTCCTATCTCTGGCACTGATTTACATCTTTTACCAAAGGTATTAGAGCTTGAATGGCTTAGCTTTTCAGAGAACTTTCCTGAGCCACAACTTAAAAAAAAAAAAACAAATTTAAAAAAAAATTATTATTGAACACCAGAAGATATAAAGTTACAAAGTTTTTCATGATTGAGTTTCAGTCACACAGTATTTCAACATCCATCCCTTCACCAGTGCACATTTCCCACCACCAATGTCCCCAGTCCCCTCCCCGCCTCCACCCCCATGCCTGCCTCTATGGCATTTTTCCTCTCTGTCTCTGTCTCTCCCTCCTTCCCTTTCTTTTCAGGCAATATTATTCCTGTAAGGGTATCATGCATATATCATTACCTCTTTTCAGCACTCAGAGTGGATCACTCCGGAGTGATCATTTCCAACGATCATTGCCATAGTGGTCCTTTCTCTGTCCTAACTGCACTCCCTCTCCTCCACTGTGGCAAGTTCCAAACCATGGACCAGTCCTTCTGCCCTTGTCTCTACTGTCATAGGTTATTATTCACATACCGTTTTTTTTTTTTTAAATCCCTCAGTGGTGTGATCATTCTGTTTGTTCCTCTCTGTCAGACTAATTTCACTCTGCATGATACTCTCTGTGTCCATCAATGTATAAACAAATTTCATGCCTTAATTTTTCCTGACAGCTGCATAGTATTCCATTGTGTAGATGTACTATTTTCTCTATACGCTCATCTTTATTCACTGGTCTGTTCTCGGGCACTTGGGTTGTTTCCAGATATTGGTTATTGTGAATAGTACTGCAATGAACAAAGGAGTGCAAGTAGCTTTTCTGCATTGTTTTTTGGCAACTAGGGTATATTCGCAGGAGCAATATCCCTGGATCTTATGGAAGCTCGATTTTTAGATTTTTGAGGAATATCCATATTGTTTTCTAGAAAGGCTGGACCATTCAGCATTCCCACCAGCAGTAAATGAGTCCCTTTCTCCTCCAATCTGTGCCAGCACTGGTTGTTCTTGCTTTTTGATGAATGCCAATCTCTGTGGTGTGAAATGATCTCATTGTTGCTTTGATTTGCATCTCCCTGATAATTAGTGATATAGAGAACTTTTTCATGTGTCCCAATTTTTTCCTGAGTTATCAAATTAGTGCTTTGAGAATGTTTTTTGTCTAGAGAAAACTGTTACCCTCGGCTTGTTCTTGAGGTCTGTGTTACCATCCTTCATACAACAGGAAACATGTTCTAGTGAACTGAATTCTGAATTTTTTGGGCATTTGTCTTTTTATTTATTTTGTAAAGTAGTTCACAGTACTTGATTACATTTAATATTCGAACACCAATCTCACCACCATTATACCTTCCCACCACATTTCAGGTGTTTCCATCCCAAACCCCAATCCCTGCCCCAAAGCAGAACCGAAATAATATAATATTTCCCTCTAAGGTTGGTTACCTCCTACTTTGAATCCCATCAAAATATGCTGCAGTACTCTTGGAATGTGTAGGGTGTGTCCTACTGTGGCTGCGTGGTCTACTTGGACATTTGTGACTTTTTGTACATCTTATTTCTTATCAATCAGGTCTCTGCAGAGAATTCGTAACTGCTTTTTGTTGGACACTTTTTTGGGGATAAGGGTGCAATGTGGGTAGGTGCCCAGATCAAATCTAGAGCTCTCTGAACCCTTTCCTGAGCCTCTAACTACTTTTGAACTTTATCTAGACATCTGTGATATTAGAATGTAATTTATTGACTTTCATTTTGAGAAAAAACATTTGTATTAAATCAAATCAAATACAATTTCCTTTAAACTTTTGCTGTGGGATGATCAAGTATATTGTTAATCTCAAGCTTTAACTTGATTAAATACTAAAATATAGGTAGGTTAAATTTAGACTAGTAAGCACTTGAAGAAATATCCTAAGTAATTATCAGAAAAATACATTTTTAAAAATGTCTATGCTATGCTGAAAGTAGACTATAGACTAAACATGATTGTCACCCATTGCCTCTTTTGCAAACCATAACACCCAATAAGAGAGAGAGAGAACAAAAGGGAATGCTCTGCCAGAGGCAGGGTGGAATGGGGGGGTGGGGATAGGGGGGTGGGAGGGATACTGGGATCCGTGGTGGTGGGAAATGGGCACTGGTGGAGGGATGGGTATTTGATCATTGTATAATTGAAACCCAAGCACAAAAATGTGTAAGTCTGCAACTGTACCTCATGATGTCTTACTATTAAAAATTAAAAAAAAAAAGTCTATGCTATGCTTACTTATAAGCATAGTAAATTCACAATGGTTTGCTTTTGGGCCACATCTGGCAGTGTTCAGCTCTTACTCCTGGCAGTGCTCAGGCTACCATATGGGATGCTAGAGATTTAATCCAGGTCAGCCACATGCAAGGCAAGCACTCTACCTGCTGTACCATCATTCCAGCCCCTCACATTGAGTCTTAGTTTTGATCAAATAAAACAAGTGTTTAATTAAGGAAGACTTTGGCTGTGCTTTCTGATTGATAACCTTTTAGTATCAATTTTACTCCATACTTACTGACACTCCAACTTCTATCCCTGTAATGTGTAATTTTGTTATTATTATGAGTTGTATATCATCTCTAGGTTCAAGAGATAATACAGCTGGTCAGACACTTACCTTGTAAGCACCCAAACTGGGTTCTATCCCCAGCACCATATAGGGCCTCCTGAGCACTGCTGGAGTGATCACTGAACATGGAACTGGAGTAAGCCCTCAGCCCTCAAAAAAAAAAAAAAACCCCAAATAGGTAAAATCAGTGATTTTAGACTGGGGACATTAACTCAATGGACTGGAGTGCATGCTTTGCATGAAGGAGTCCTAGATTTGATCCTTAACACTGTGTGATTCCAAGCCAAAAAAGTTTGTTTTTGGGACACAAATGGTAGTGCTCAGGGCTTACTCTTGGCTCTGCTCAGTGATCACTCCTGAAAGGGCTCAGGGGACTGTATGGGTGACAGGGATTGAATCCGGATCTGCTGCATGAAAGGCAAGCACTCTATCTGCTGTATTCGCTCCAGTTCCACAAAAATTTTTAAATTAGTGGTTCCTCCTCCATTATTTAGTTTCCAGGTAAAGGTAAAGGTAAAGGCCCTCCTGTTGATCGTCGATTTGCTCGAGCGGGCCCAGTAACGTCTCCATTGGAGACTTTGTTGTTACTGTGTCTGGCATATCGAATACTCTCGGTAGCTTGCCGGGCTCTCCGAGAGGGGCAGAGGAATCGAACTCGGGTCGGCCATGTTGGCCGCTTGTAAGGCGAACGCCCTACCCGCTGTGCTATCGCTCCAGCCCAGATTAAATGCTATTTTTGAAGGTACTTAGGGAGATAAGTGAGCTAAGACCAGAACTTTTTTGTTCATGTTATTTTGGTAATCTTTGTTTTTTCCCTTCTACTTTCCAGACACATGAAACTAGTTTGTGGGAATATTACCACTAAGGAGTATCTGCTCAGGAATGTTGTTGTTAAGCCTTTGTTTTCCTTTGCACCAAGAGCCATGAATTGAGGAATGTGTGCGTAGGTCGCACACAGTTTTAAGCTGATGGGATAGCAAAGACCTTTTCTAACCATGACCATGTTCCAGTTCTTTTTTTTTTAATATAAATTACAAAATTATAGAGATTAGTCATCTAACAACTTCAATAATGAGTTTCAAGGAATAAATCTCCCACTGGCCATTATTTTATTTTTGCTTTTTTTTGGGGGGGTCACACCTGGCAATGCACAGGGGTCACTCCTGGCTCTGCACTCAGGAGTTACTCCTGGTGGTGCTCAGGGAACCATATGGGATGCTGGGAATTGAACCCGGGTCGGCCGCGTGCGAGGCAAATGCCCTTCCCACTGTGCTATCTCTCCAGCCCCTGGCCATTATTTTAAAGACATTTAAGAATTCAAATTTTCATTTAGTTCACCACAGCAATTTACTTCCCAACAAGTTACTTCATTGAATCACACCAAATTTTCATCAAATAGGATACCATGAGAGTAAAAATGTGAGCAAAGCCATAAAAGGTTATGTCATGAAATGGCTCCATGAAAAACAGTTAACATCTAAACATTTTTCAGTATCACCAGGCACTACTGCTAAAGAACCCCAGCCCCTTTTTGCACTATACGACCCACTTCAGTGCCTGCAGTCCACTGGCAAGGGTCAGGCAATGGTTTGGGGTCACCGCTTGCTTTCGTATGGGACACTATCATGTCCCAGTTCTGAGAGTCTATTACCTGTTGGAACATCTACATCTTCATGCTGATTTTCATTAATCTTTAGGAGGAACTAGCCAAGATGAGGATCACCCATACAAGTTATATACAATCATTACTTTTGAGCTCACTGAACATCCTCAACATTTCATCTCTAAATTCTTTATTGGAGAGATTATATTTGTGGATATTCCCTGTTGAGGCTTCTGGGCTCTTTTCTTCATCCACTCCTTGTGGTGAGGATCTGTGCTCTTTGTTCATGTTTCTGTATAAGTACGGAGGTGGATCCCTCCAGTTCACTATCAGTGTCCCCCCCTCGCTGCGAGGGAGGATTCTGGATGAGCTCGGTCGATTGTGGTCTCCTTTTCTCCCTTCAAGAATACTAACTTCCTCTTTGGTGCTCCCGTGTGACTTTTGTGGGGCCTCTAGGGCGGCATTAGTGGATGTGTTCTTTTACATTAGGCTTGTGTTCACCGTTATTTTGGTGAGTTTGGGGAGTATTTGGATTGGAATAGGCTAGTGGACTATTGGCCTAATGTGTTTGGGAGTCTGGCTGTCCTCCTCAGAATTAGGCAATGGAGGTTGAGATGTGAGTCCAAAGCACTATGAAAGGGGAAAATAACAGCTGCTGTGTGAGTGGCTGCTGCCACCCCAGAGGCCACACCCCCCATCGCGCTGTACCTGTGGGGGAGGGGCTGTCACTGGTGCTAGTCCTGGGTTAGAGTTCTAATTCTGGCACACTTCTAAAATCGCAGGAGTCCCCTCTGGCCTAGGTGCTCATGTGGGCACCTTAGCTGAGAAGGGGTCTTCCAATTCACTGTGGCTGCTTGCTCACCCTGGAGGCCACCTACAATCTTTACTTTTGCACGGAGGGGTTCTGGGCCACATGCAGTGTGTTCAGGAGTGACTCCAGGAAGTTCAGGTGATGACCACATGTGATGCTGGGGATTCAAAGCAAGTCTGACATATCTAAGCAAGTGCTTTACCTTCAGTACTAACTCTCTAACTCCCAACTGTAACCTAGAAGGATTAAAATGATTATTATTCTTCTTTCGTAAACCTGGTGGTTCTCAGGACTACTCTCAGCTTAGGAGTTGCTCCTGGAGGTGCGCAGGGGACCCTATGTGACAAGAAACACAGCCAAGCCAATTGTGTGCTCAGCCTGCTGAGCCCCTACCGTTCATTTATATGCCACATGCTGCAAATGTCTAACCACTTAAAGTAAAGGATTAGAGCACATGCCTTGCATGCAGCTAACCGTGGTTTAATCCGAGTACATGATTTCCCAGCACTGTGGGGTGTAACCTTGGTGGCCCTGGCGCATCACCAGGGAATCCCTGTTACTGCCGGACCCAGCAGCACCACATCTTCGAGCCTTGCACTCATGCATATGTCTCAGTTGACTGAATATCACTAGATATGGTCCCTGGAACGACTAAACACCACATGGGAGGACCCACCCTCCAAAAATTAAAAGGCAGAGAAATGTAAAATACTCTACAGTTTTTAAACCAGTCAGCAAAAGTTAAAGACAGTAATATGTGAAGCTGACATGTAAAATCAGAATATTTTTATATTACAAAAAGCCACATGATTAGCATAAAATAATTAAAAGGACATATATGCTGTAACTTACAACATTTGTAATGGCAAGCACAAAACAATCTAAATATCTGCCAGTGGGGAAATGGTAAATTCTGAAAAGACCGTGGATCCCAATCATTAGAATTAAGGAGATCATCTACTTATTATACAATAATAATTATTGTATAACTTATTATACAATAAGCAATACACAGTATTGCTGCTGTGTTGCTGTCTAATGCAGTTGCCATTCGTTGCACATGTGGAATTTGAAATTTGTTTTTTGCAGCATAGGGGTGGACCTCACACATTCAAGGCAAGTGCTCTACAACTGAGCCACATACCTGGCTTGAAGTAAATTCTTTTACAAGTTGCCACTCCAATTGGTGTTCTGGCTATTGAAACAAGGGGCTCTTACACATGCTAGCCATGCAGTAGTCTATTACTTGAGCTATCCTTCTGGTCCTGGAATTAAAATTTAAGAAATTTAAATTAAAATTTAAGAAACTTAGTTCCAGGAGCACAGCGGGTAGGGCGTTTTCCTTGCACGTGGCTGAAACCAGGTTCGATTCCCAGCATCCCATATGGTCCCCTGAGCACCACCAGTGGTAATTCCTGAGTGCATGAGCTAGGAGTAACCCCTGTGCTTCACTGGGTGTGACCCCCCCCAAAAAAAAGAAATTCAGTTCCAGTTGGGTGTGGGTCCAGAAACACCAGTGCACAAAAAAAAAATACACTATTTGAAATACAGTATATAGCACAATATATATTATGAAACTTACTCATCCTTTCATAAACTGGGGGAAAAAAGAATTAGTCAATCTCTATGCTTTATGAATGTTACAACTTATTACTTTTGTATTTAAAATGGTAGTTACTACGATAATATATAAATTGCCACTTCCTCCTTACAGACACAATGCAGATTTCTTAAAATAATGATGGCCAGACTTCTGCATCTAGCATAGGTTAGGAATATGTTGTTCTACCTTAGGGCATAGGAGTTAACCCAAAATACTGAAAGCCAACCCAACTAAATCTTTTGAAAGAACAGAATTGGCACATCTGTTAAAGCTGTTAAAAAAAAAAGAATATAAATTATGCTCATTAAAATCAAAATGTCTGTGGTTTGATTCAGTTCATAAAAATAAGACAGTATTTTATTCTAAAATAAAGATAACATTTATTATCACAAGTTGCATAAAAACATTGACAGCTTTTACAAAAATTATTTTTGATAGAAAAATATTCAAATAGATGTGATATTTGTAGGAACACCATACTATTGCTGTACTTACAGCTAAAGCTTCAAAGAAACCTATTTCTCATATTTAAAATATCCAATATTTATTACAACCCATCTTTGGAAAGAAGTTCATAATATTTTCTGAACAAACCAAAGTATACTCATTAAGCAAATGCCTGTGGTCACTTGTATGTGTATCAAATACAATTACATATTATAACTGCTGATAACAGGCCTCATTTAGAATGTCTTCACTTTATAGAGGAATGTAAGGCCAAGTGATAACGAGCTATCATGGCACCCTAGCCTTACTCCAGTGTTCTTTAATAATTTATAAGTAATCATAAATATTTTAAAAGATAATGATGTTATTTACTTGTTCCTCTGTACTAAGTATGGTTTCTGGTTTATTCAGATTAAGGAAGAATTATTAAATAACATTGAAATGGTATGAAAACTCATTGTCAAGGGCACTTAGGTCAAACATTAACTCTTTTCCGCATAATTACCTGAATCTTCCCAAAAGACTCAACCAAGGAATATGTCCACATGGTAGGTGAACCTTTCCCTCAAAGCATTTCCTTGGGTCAAATGATACTATAAGAGACAGTTACATCTGCCATTACAGTTGTAGTTTGTGATTTGAGAGAACTGATGGTTTTCTTTTCTTTGATAGAATCCATGACAGTTCAGAAGGTGAAAGGATTGCTGTCACGTCTTCTCAAAGTTCCTGTGTCAAAACTTCTGTTGTCCTATGAGACTCCCAAAGTAAGTTGCCCAGCAAAACATGAAGTCATGCTTAGTTCTCCACAGTACGACGTCACGAATTTCTCTATATGACACTAATTCTAAAAGGAGACCATACATTTCTTTTGTGTGTGATAATAGATGAGTTCCCCTGCTACCTGACTTGGCATGACTTGGTTCTTTTTTGGGGGTCTGGGAATGCTCAAGGTTTTTTCCATATAAATTTATGGTAAAAATGCTCCCGGATCCCCCAAATAACCTACCAAGTCATACTAAATAGGAATGTCCTAAATAGGAACATCCCACTTTTTGATAGTGGTGGAAACATCTAACTCTTTTATTTTAATCACCTACTCCCCCTTTGTTTTGATTTTAGATGCCGGGCAAAGAGATTGAACTAGAAAATAACCAAAACTCATTAAATTATTACTCTGTGGAAAATGGAGATTGCCTTTTAGTGCGATGGTAACAACTAACTAAGACAATTCAGATACTAGATTTATCATGACTGGGATTCAATGAAATACATGATTGATTAGAATAATTATCTGGTCAAAATACTGAGGATTTACATCTTGCCTTATGTAAAGAAAAGGCCGTATTTTTTGTTGGGAATAAACCATTTCTAGGTATGTATATAAATAGCAATAATAAAGGATTTCAAACTACTGATGACTTCCTGATTTTATTTTCTATTAACTGTATAATTCATGACTGCATTTCATTGTGTGCAGATTTAAATATTAACTATAACCTATCTAGTCTATTAAATCTGAAAGCAGTGAAGGTCTGGCACAGGACCAGTTTTAATGGAATCTTCTATTGATAATACTAGTTTAAAGGTTACTAACTGTGATTTGGTTGGTCATTTGGGGGAAATGTCCCTTAAACCCAAAGAGGCACATCCTCTAGTGTATATAAGATAAGTTATGATCTCTCCGCTCAGTTACTATTTTTGAGTACTTATAAAAATTATACGATCTGAAGAGAAACCAGAGCGATAGCACAGCAGGTAGGGCGTTCGCCTTACAAGCGGCCAACATGGCCGACCCGAGTTCGATTCCTCCGCCCCTCTCGGAGAGCCCGGCAAGCTACCGAGAGTATTCGATATGCCAGACACAGTAACAACAAAGTCTCCAATGGAGATGTTACTGGGCCTGCTCGAGCAAATCGACGATCAACGGGAGGGCCTTTACCTTTACCTTTATAAAAATTAATTACATGCTTTTCCCTATAGTTATACCTAAACCGAGCATATAGTCTTCTATAGACAATTACCAGCTCTGATTGAAATTTCAGTGTCAACTACATAGAATATCTTTCCCTATGGCACTAAAACCCTGAGTGTATGTGAATTTACTTATATTCAGCACTTCAAAATATTCTGTTTATGTAGTATCAAGACTGAATGAACCCAGGGCCTCCCATATACTGAGCCACAACCCCTCAGCCTTTTAAAAAAGAGGTCACCAAATTGTGACCAACAGGATTTCTGTTAAATAGCAAAGGAAAGTTTAGGTATTGGTAGATTTGAAACTTTAAAACCAACATCCACAACTGAGATCTATAAAATCTGATGTTATCTTCAGAAATCCCTTACTTTGGTATAAATGATCACATAGCATTTCTATGAGTCCATTTTGGCCCTTAATAATGCTATACAAATGGTTCTGTAATTCTGGTTGTTTCAAATCTAAAGATTTCCAACTACAACAAATTTTAATAAAAATAATAAGTAACGATTTACCTAGGAACAATGCATCATTTTTGAGAAATAATTTCTTTTATAATGATTTGGTATTTTAAAAATATTCTCCAATATGTAAATAAATTTTCTTATGCTACTGTATCATTCAGGTGAAAGAGCCAGTCTACCGCCACGTATGTCCTGCTATCAATCCCTGGGTTGTCCTCAGATTTATATTCAGACGATTATTTGCCTACCCTGATCTTTAAACACTACAAATTAAAATCATTATCTTGCTTCACACTGACAAGGATCACCACAGGATTCCTTCAGTTTCCACAGTTCTGTTAGCTCCTGTGGAGAATACTGAGGCGAAGACAACATTCCTGTTTCACAAGTCTTCTCACACAGCCAGAGGCTGTCCTGGTAAAACAAAACAAAACAAAACAAAAGCTGATTTGGGAGCTGAGGAACAGTGCAGAGAGGGAGAAAGCAAGCAGACAGACGGCTTCTATTTTCTAAATGGAGCTGCAACGACCCAATGACAACCCTATACGTGACTTACTGGTGATTCTAGGGGAGTAGGGAAAGCACCCAGCCCACTGACCTTATGGCCACTGATTTCAGAAACAGCAAAGTGTAGGTACTGAAGAGTAGCTTAAAAGGAGTTCTAAAAGAGTTAAACCTGATTTTCAGGGAAAAATGTTGGATGATTTTACTTTCCATTGATCACTTTGTACATAAGGAGACGTCGCGCGGCCGCATAAGCCCAATAGGAGAGAGAGAACAAAAGGGAATGCCCTGCCACAGAGGCAGGGTGGGATGGGGGGGATGGCGGGTGGGAGGGATACTGGGATCCGTGGTGGTGGGAAATGGGCACTGGTGAGGGATGGGTATTCAAAATAAATAAGTAAAATAAATAAAAATATTTTAAAAAAGGAGTTCTAAAACGAGGAAGCTTAGAAACCACAAATGGAGGTTGCTATTTGCTATAAGGAGAAGGGCAGAAGCAGTTGAAATATTCTGGATACCGTACCAAATATTTTATAAACAAATACTCTCACAGAAACTCTTTGGGATAGGGATTATTTTTCCTTCAACAAATGAAAAATTGAAACTCAGGACAGTCACAGGCTCTGGGTGACAGTGCTGGGAATCCTATCAGTGCTGTTTAACCCTTGAGTAGGAAGGATTAAAATGACTCCAGCCAAGTTCTTAAAATGACACTGGCTAACATTGCAGGCACACAAACTAGCTACTAATTTCCAGTCAAAAGAACAGAATACAGATACAGACACGGCCGACCCAAATTCGATTCCTCTGCCCCTCTTGGAGAGCCCAGCAAGCTATGAAGAGTATCTTGCCCGCAAGCAAAGCCTGGCAAGCTACCCGTGACGTATTCGATATGCCAAACACAGTACTAAGTCTCACAATGTTACTGGGCCTGCTCAAGCAAATCAATGAACAGCGGGAGGACAGTGACAGATACAGAAAAAAAAAATTCAACAGCTGGTGAGTAGAAGGCACTGGACTGAAATACGTCCCTTGAAGGTTCTGCTGGGTTCTGTTTTATTTTTGGGGCCACACCCAGCAGTACTCAGGCATCACTCCTGGCAGGTTCAGGGGAACTTATTAGTTGCTGAGGATCAATTCTGGGTCGGCCTTGAGCAAGGCAAAGCTCCACATGCTGTATTATCACTCAGCCCCTCTGCTGAGTTTTGAAAGGCTATGTCCAGACTGGCCTGAGACTCCGAGAGAAGGCCGGGATCCCTAAGGGTTGAGAGTCGGAGAGGAGGGGGCTAGCAGGGGAGGTATTCAGGAAATAAAGCTGTGCAGAGCAGGCTGGTCTCAGTTTTGATCCTGGGTGGTATGGAAAAGGTTCTCTCCTGAGCACCTGAACCTAGGACCCACACATAAGTGATATACAACTGGGGTCATACTTTGCAGAGACCCAATTCCCAAACTGGAAATTTTAAGTATTCATGATTAATGCTCTTAGGTGTATGGCAGAAAAAATGCAAACACTCTGTAGGAGTGCATTTCCAAAGTTTCCATAGTCTTCAGAAACAATAAATTAAGGTCTGCAAAGATGAGCTATTAGCATTACTAGATGAACAAAATTAATCATATTCAACGTTAAATAATCAAAGATGAGAGGACCAAGCTGATGTAGGTTATTTCTGTTCTTTTCTGGAATAAGTGTTTTGGTTTGGTGGTTTTTTTTTTTCTTTTGGATTTTGGGCAACACCCAGTGGTGCTCAGGGGACTTATGGGATGCTGGGGATCAAACGTGGGTCAACCATATACAACGCAAGACCCCTCTCCACTGTACTATCCCTCTTGCCCTTCTGAAATGAAGGTGGATCTGGGCCCACTTTGCAAGGTTCCTACTCAGCAGGCACTGCACGCTCCGCTGTTCCTTATACCTTGTAAGGCCAAAGTGGAAGCTACAAGAACCAAGAATTTCAGAGAAAGCTTTGAAAAGACCAGATTTGTGCTTGTTTTCCTCACTACAATCCTACTTTGCATTTCTAGTCTTCCTTCATTGTTTTTCCTGACTCAGCAACACACTTTAAAAAAACAGGGTGTTTTTAAAGACATCTTACAATATCACAATTCAGGTTTTTATTTGTGTCATCAAGACATGCAGGGCCCTTGGACTACCACACTGCTTGGAACCTTAAGTTTTAAAGCATAAGGAATTTCTGATCAAATGTATTAAAAGCTAATTCTTTCTTGTGCATAGGAGAACTTCCATCCAAAACATTTCTGTTATGTATAAAGCCAGTAAAGTATTACATGGGAGAGAACCTAGGTGATTACTAAGAATTAAACTCTGATATGTGTGGATCAGACAAATGAAAACATCTATAATGCTAGATCTAAAGATGCACTGTTTCCCCCTAAGGTTTGGTAGATAGCTTGAGAAAACACTCTTTCAACTCTTCAGAAACCTGTGGCCAGCCCTTCTCAGACTTGCTTACCTGGTACCGTTTAGGTCCTATGGCTGCCATCCAAATGCCCATACTAACATCTTCACCCTATATAGGCCACATAAAATTAAAATGCAAACATTTAAATGAATGCAACTTCACTTGTAAAGATAATTCCAAACCCTCCCATTGATAATTTTTCTACTTGATTTTGCAAATATTCTACTATGAAGTACCAAACATGTATCAACACTAATACAAAAGTATCAGCTAATGGCACGCACACACCACAACAAGAAGACTGTATTGCAGAAAGGCGCCAGCCCAATCTTGTGGACCATAAGCCTCCAGCACTAATGGTATGAAAGATTTGGTGGTTCTAATACCTATGCAGAGTTGTTTACTGATACTCATCAGAGTCAGTGTAAAGAGAGCATTTATGGCCCTTGGGTATGGGCCAGTGCTAAAGCACTTGGCCTATATGTGTGAGGCCCTGGGCTCTATCCTCAGTACTCCCCTCCCATTCACACACAAAAAGAAAGCACCTTCTTTAGTCTTCCTTCTGATGCACAGTAATCTTTGTATTTCTCAAGGCACTAACAGGCTGAAAACATAGTCAGCCCCAAGTATATAGAGAGAGTATTTAGAGCCAAGATTTGGGTCAGAGAGTCTGGCCCTATTCTTTACAGAGTAGCGTTTCCTGTACAGAAAGAGTAATAATACTTGCCTCCAAGAAAATGCTGGCTCTGCTCTCAGTGATACAATACTTTGTTGAACACTGGGTTTGATTAGTGTTCTTCTAGATAAAAAATCTGTAATTACCTGATAGGTCTTTAATCTCCCTGAGTTTCTGGCCAGCCAGTAGACGATGTCCCTGGAGATCACATAACCTGACCCGCACGCAAAGGCTGGGTAAGCAGGACTAGGGTACTCCAGCTCCTGCCACTTTCCAGTTCGGTCAACAGCCCAATTCAATCTGAAACTGAGATGCAAGAGAATGGGCATCTTTGTATTGGTCTTATATATATTTCCTATCACTATTAGGCATGACTCCTTTTTTATAACCACAAAGAAAAAATTTGTAGAAGCAAGGGTAAAATGAAAAAATTCTTTTTTAGACCAAAGAAAGAACTGTTTTATATATGACCAGTTTATTATATTATCTTGAAATGCATTTGCCAAGTTTCTGAATAGAAAATACTAGATCATCCTGTGTGTATCTACTTAAAAGAAAAAAAAAATCAGTCTTCCATATTATACCCCTGAAGAAACACAGAAAATAGTTTCTGAAGTGTACCAAATTTATTCTGACATAAAAATGTACCAGCAGCTTCTTATCTGAGTACCACGTATTTCTGGGGCATTAGGATAAAAGCCACATAATTTCCCTTCATTTAATTAGCCTGAGGTTTTTCATTTCAAGGAGCAAGGAGTTTTTTCCCATTCTAATTACAGATTAATAAAATCCAGTAACTCAGGAGCCAAGCAGGGAAACTTCCTATCTCAACCATGTTTTTTTGGTGGTTGTTGTTGTTTTGGGGGCCACACCTGGGACTGCTTGCGGTTCGCTCCTGGCAGTGCTCAGGGGGACAATGTGATGCTGGGGATTGAACCTCGGCCTCCTGTATCCCTGGCTCTCACCCACATTTTCTTATAAAACTGACTTATACACTTCATTCTAAACTAATTGCCTTTGATCAGATATAAGAATGCCAATAAGCTAACAATATTTAACTTACTTTCCCCACCAAAAGTTAGGGCCATCTAGATTCCTGTGGGCAATTCTATTAAATATAGCTTCTATATCAATGTAACAGTCGTCATCGGTCTTCAGCAACAAATCAAAGCTGGCTGTTTCCACAGTCCTGTTGGGAAAAAAAAACAACATGATGAAAGTCACTGTGTCCAGACAAGAAAGCAAAGCAGTACGAGTGTGGTGACATCGCTGATCTTTTAATTGAAATGTCACTATCCTACCTACATACTCCCCCACTGTCTTATTCCTCCAATACTGAGGAATTTTACTCTACCAGAACATTACTATTACTAATTGTATTACTATTACATTTCTTATTTGATTTTCCCTAAATGGCATAACAGAGAAGTACCAAGCTGACTTTAAAGGACACATGATGAAACACATGCTTAGGTACTGCTCCAGGTAGGCTGCCAAATCTGTGTTCTCAGAAAGGAAGCCAGATGGTGCAGACAGGAGTCGTACCCGCCTCTCAGAGCACTGTTGGACAACAAAATGTCTTCTACTCTATACAGTGTTCAGGAGATGGCTGTGGTTTTCAAACAAACTGAATCAACCCTTAAAATATATTCCCCCTTTGAAATACTTTCCAACAATTAAACTATTGTATATAGCCTTTTGAAAGGCACAGGAAGTTCCTTTCAAAAGGTTTCATTAGTTTGGACTTAAAAATATATATGTAATGCTGATTGCCACCCAATGCCTCTTTTGCAAACCACAGCACCCAAAAGGAGAGAGAGAACAAAAGGGAGTGCCCTGCCACAGAGGCAGAGTGGAATGGGGGGATGGGGGTGGTGGGAGGGATACTGGGATCCGTGGTGGTGGGAAATGGGCATTGGTGGAGGGATGGGTACTTGATCATTGTATAACTGAAACCCAAGCACAAAAATCTGTAAGTCTACAACTGTACCTCATGGTGTTTCATTAATAAAAATTAAAAACAAAAACAGAAACAAATATATGTAAAGAATACTAGAGAGAAAACTGATTCCTTCATTTCCCATTGACAATTCTTGCACATCTCTGTTGAAAAACCAGTATTGCTAGGGAAAGAGTCAAATGTGGATGAAAGAAAGCGGAATGAAAGAAATATGGAGAAAGTTACAGTAGGTCCGAGAACAAGAAATTTGAACAATGGGTACACACCAAACAGTGTAAGCCTAAAGTATATTTCTAATTGAGTGCATAAAGTTTCATAGCATTTTTTTGCTGAGAACTTTTGTGATGCAGGACACTGAGTGATGAATTAACTGAGTAAAGAAGATGAATAAGGAGACAGTAGACAGGGAAGCCGGGCCGTGAGGAGCTGGGCGCTAAAGCATAGTGTTGTCAGAAGGTCAATGCAGTAATTCAGGTGGGTGTAAGGGTCCAAAAGAAACAGCAGCAGTAGAGACCGAGGGAGAGACTAACATCTCAGAGACATGGAAGGGGTAGAGGAGACAAAATAAACTGCCTAAAACTACACTGAAACTCCCACAGCTGGGAACTGGCTCCCTGTTGAAGGAAGTCCTAGAATATGGCAGCTCTGGTTTCCTATTTTCCGAACGACTGCCCCCATTTCTCGACTCCTCAGATCCTTGCTTTGATCCCAGATACAACAGGAATACCCATTAGTGGCCTTGAGCTAGAAAGTTCTTTTTATTACTACAGCTGTCTAAACTCAATCTTGAGATTCCAGGCAAACCCAAATTTCCAACTCTATTTATTTTTTAGTGTGGGGGCCATACCCAGTGGTGCTCAGGGATCACTTCTGTAGGAGTTTGGGAGATGATATGAAAATACCTGGGATCAAACCCTGGTTGGCTGTGTGCAAGGCAAACACTCTACCCACTGTCCTATCTGGCCTTCCAACTTTATTTGTAGCGAGCTACAAGAGAACTTCAAAATTACACGAACTTGTCTCCTGCTTTGAAACATTACCTGTCACTAATTAGACTATCTCTCAGGATCAGGGAATTTCAGCCATAAATCACTTCCACTGCTCAAGACACAGGAAGCAGCCAGACTTGGGGACTCAGAAACAATCTCACTGCTAAGCTTTAAAATCAGTGACTATATTTTATACGTATAGTCTAGACTATATTAACATTAACATTAACATATGCCTCAGAGACCTGGACCCTACGAAAACAGGATGAGAACGCTATTCGGGTCTCTCAAAGAGGAATCGAAAGAACTATGCTTGGAATGTCACGATTCACTCAAATGAGAGATAGAATCCGGAGTTCTGATCTTCGTCAACGCTCAAGAATCAGGGACGCTGTCTCATTTGCCAAGACATCAAAAATCAGATGGGCTGGACGCGTAATGAGGTTTACAGACAACCGCTGGACTAGAGCCATTACTGATTGGATTCCACGAGACATCAAAAGATCACGTGGACGCCCACCTATTAGATGGTCAGACTTCTTCGTCAAGACCCTAAATGATCGGTTTGAGGCTCTACATGTTCCTAAAACGAACAGATACCATTGGGCTACGCTAGCACGCAACCGGGATGAATGGAGACGTTACTGGCACCCGCTCGAAAATCGATGAATAACGGGGATTAAGTGATTAAGTGATTAAGTGATAGTCTAGACAGAGATACAGTTAAAGGTTTTTGATTCCACAGAATAGACATTATCAGGGTATCATAAGAGTTATTGCAACAACAGAGTATTTCAGTAACTAAACAAAGGACCCCGGACTTCTCTGGCCAATGCAGCCCCACTTTCAAGAAAATGACTTAGAGCCTGCCTGGAAATCTACCACTTTCATGTGAACATGGAATTGCCCCAACTGAACCCAAGGCTGCTAATGACCCATCCCCCAATCATTCTAGTACCCCTTGGGGCAGTGTCACCCAATTTGGGAAATAATAAAATAAATTATTAATAACTACACATATATGTATTTATATAGTAGCTATCATCGCTATAACCATTTAAACGGGAGGAATTACAATTAAGACCTAAGAAATACTAAAGGATCAGAATAGACTCTAAAAGTATTTCAATTTAACATTATATTAAGGTTTTAGAATTGGGGTAAGCAGTTTTTAAATGGGTGAAGAGACTGGAAATAGAATGCAGATGTTCAGTTGAACAGAATTCAGTTTAGTAATCTGGGTACAAGATACAAACAGGCAATTAAGCTAGGAGGGCATGAATACAGCAAGGTGGGCATGAAAACAGATCATTTCAAAACATGCTTATTTTCATGTAACACTGACTTTAGATACCATGGCACATAGGAATGACTCTAATTTTTTATCTTTTTTTGGATCGGTTAACCTAATTCAAATTATGAATTTGTTAATCTAAATAAGAAATACCATCATTTTAGAAAGGAAGTTCCACAAAGAACAAGAATTCAGTAAGATTCAGATATTTATGGGGCTAAGGTTGGTTTGATTTTGAAAAACTATTTCAATGTCAAACAATATAACAAGTCTTAGTTAATGACTTTTTTTACAGCCTACCATCTATAGAAGTTCAGTAATTTTGCAGGGACATTCCGGTAAGTGTCAATAACATCCACAAAAACAATGTCATCATAGACGCTGCTTTCCTCCTTCAGTAAGGTATCTTCCTCGTGAAGATTTCTTATGTGATCACTAAGTCTTTGAGGACGAGAATGAAGATTTTGTAAGAGAGCATCACCTTCTGAAATGGAAAAGTTGAGAGTTGGAGAAAAATACGATTGTGAACTTAAAACCCAGAACTGTAATTTTACATACATTAGAAACTCTCTCTCCTGGGCAACCTAATGAAGATACAACTATTAGGAACTTAGAAATGGGAAGGGAAATGGAAGCTTCCATACCCCACTATAGGGATAATGAATGGCTAAGTGGTTGCACTCCCTCTGGAATATTTTCTAGTCAGGCCCAAGGTATTCATATTATATAACTCATGAACTCCACTCAGACATAATATCCCTAAAGATATTATTTTAAGTGTTCATAAGGATAGTTACTGCAGTATTATTTGCAATAGGAAAAAGTGGGACCAACCTAAATTGATCCTGTTAGGAGACAGTGGTTAAATTGTGAATTTTCACATGGAAGGCAGCAGCTAAAAAATATTTACCTGAAGCAATCTGTCTTTGAGATTTCCTCAGTCTGAACTGGGTCCTCCCCCTCCCCGCTTTCCCTCCTCCCCTGCCCTCTCCTTCTGCCAGCCAGTGCTTAGGGATCACTCCTGGCAGGCTCAGGGAACCAACAGTACCTGCTATTGAACCCAGGCCGACTGCTTGGCCGTGCTAGCACCTAACCTGCAGTACTCTCTCTCCCTTCCATTTTTTCTCCATCACCCGCTCTCCATCCTATTTTTTCTAAATAAAAGTATATTAAATAAATAATATACTTTTATAATATAAATAATTTTATAAATAAAATATAAATTTATAAAACGAATAGATTATAAATAAAAGTATATTAAATAAAAGTATATATTTTTTAAAAAATAAAAGTATATTAAAAAATTCATTTATTTGGGGCTAGAGCTTATCCTACAGTGGGTAGGATGCTTGCCTTGCAGGCGGGTGACCTGAGTTTCCTTCCTGGCATTGTACCTGGTACCTGAAGCCTTCCAGGAGTAAATCCTGAGCACAGAGCCAGGAGCAAGCCTGAGCACTGTTGGCTGTGGCCCACAAACCAACCAAACTGCTCCTCCAACAAAAAAGGGGGCTAGATCAATAGAATAGCGGGCAGGGTGCTGGCCTTTCATGCTTCAGACCCGCAATCAATCCCATCACCAGGGGTAATTTCTGAGTGCAGATCCAGGAGTAACCACTGAGCATTGCCAGATGTGCCCCCCAAAACAAAAAACAGAGATTCACCTATCTTTAATTTTTATTTTCTTGCTTTTGGGGGGCCACACCTGGTAGTGCATAGGAGTTGGGGCTAACACTGCTGGGTTGTAGGTGGGGAGGGACTGAAACTGGGCCTCCCACATGCAAAAATATGCTCATCTCGTAACCTTTACAACTTCTGTCCCTGATCTTGCATACTAAAGGAACACCAAAAAAATGATGCCGAGTAAGAAAAAGCGTATCACTTGGTGTCAGAGAATCAGCTCAGGAGGTAAGACACTTGCGTGGCATATGGCTGTTTCAGCTGACCCTGGTTGGATCGTGGTCCCACACATGGTCCCCTGAGCTGTGCTGGGCATGACCCCCAAAACCATTTACCAAATGAACAAGAAAAAAACACTGCTAGCTTATAGATGTGACATAAGCACACAGATCTCAACGGTAAAATGCGCTAATCACAACTTTGTTACATAAGTTCACAACATGGGTTGTAGAAAGTAGAAAAGAGTATGAAGGGTGGACGTGAATTTCAGAACGGTTGCTTTTTCAAAGTGAAGGACAGGAATAGAGGTAAGAAGACATAAATGGGTGTGTGTCAGGGACAGGGAACATTAACTATTCCTTTCTTTCTTTTTGGGAGGAGGGACTATTGATGTTCAGGAGTTACTCCTGGCAGTGCTTAGGAGCTATGCAGTTGTTAGAGCACCTTTGCCCTTGTACTATCTCTCTGGCCCCTGTAACACTTTATTTCGTAAAAAAAAAAAAAAAAAACAAAACACTGGGTCCCGTGGTGGTGGAAAATGGGCACTGGTAGAGGAATGGGTATTTGATCACTGTATAATTGAAATCCAAGCACAAAAATTTGTAAGTCTACAACTGTACCTCATGGTGTTTCACTAATAAAAAACAAATTGATAACAAACCCAGCAATTATGACAAAAAGTAGTATTTGTTAGTTCCGAACAATATGCTGTACATGGGTACTTCTTATAGCATTCTCTATTTTTCGTGTATTTATCATATAATGAAATGGTTGCTAATGTGCTTTATTTTGCAATCTCGTGGGCTAATGAATCATTTGTTACATTTGTGCAGGATCTGTTTACAGATCCTACTAATTAGGCAGAAATAATTTCACTGGGGCAGAATTTCTCAAGTCTCAAATTAAAGAAACTTTCTATAAATAATAAGTGGGTGACTCAGAAGCAGGGAAAGGAAGCCAAACAGTGATTCAACATTCTGTCCTTTGTAACTGCATCTGGAAAGACAAAGAGGATGGGATTCCTGACTCTGCCACTTGAAGACTTTTGGCACTAACCTGTTCTTCAGGAAGCAATACTTGAATTAACTGGCAAAGAAGAAAATCTGTGAGACAAAGTCAGATGGTGTATTACACATCTACGCCTCATCCCTAGAGTAAGCTACTTTAGGAAACTGACCTGCTCTCCTTTCCTGAGTTCTCACAAGAGCTGAATCATTACCTGCCCTCTTGTGAGTTAAAGTGGTACCTTCCTTGGCAGACAATCTCATATGAAATATCCCAGCCTAGGAGCCAGGGTTGTAGCTCAGCAGCAGAGTACCTAATTTACACAAATTCCCTGGTATCTCTTCCCTCTCCCTCCACCCCCCCCCCCCCCCACATCTGAGCTAGAATTAAGTGGTTTTTCTTTCCTTGGTGTTTGGGCCACACCTAGCAGTGCGGGGGGGGGGTGGGGGGGTGGGGGGGGGGCAGGGAACAACAACTCCTGGCCTATTGCTTTGAGGATCAGGTTATACCGGTGATTGAATCTGCGCCTCCCACCGGCATAGCATGTGCTATAGCCCTCTGTACTATCTCTAGCCCTGCATCCCCCAAATCTTAAATCTTTGTTTTGGGGGGTGGGGGGAGGCACTTCTGGCTTTGTGCTTGGGGGCCATACCAGATACAGTGCTAGGATTTAACCACTGTTGCAGTGGTTTCTTACAGGAAATAGGCAAGCTGATTCTACTCATTCTCTGACTTATTTATTTCTGGGCTTCCCATGCAGTGCTCCTCAACTCGGCTGTGGAAGACAGTTCAGGCTCAGCAGAGTGGGGAACCCCTCCCCACCCCCAGACTGCAGCCAGTGGTGCTCCAAGGTGATGAGATGCCAGGACTGAACTCGGGGCCTCTGTAGACAAGCTGATTCTTTTTCACTCTCTTTTAGGACCACACCCGTTGGTGCTCAGGAGTGACCCCTGGTGATAGTCAGGGGAACCACATGTGCCTTATCTCTGGTACTATCTGTGACCCCCCACAAGCTGATTTCTTAAATAAAAGTGCAAAGGCTCTAGAATAGCCCAACGGTATTTTGCAAATGACAAAAACTGGAGTATTCAGAATTCCTGAATTACGATTTTACTACAAATTGACACAAAGCCATAGAGGAAAATTTCCAGGATTAAGGCAGATGCCTTACATGTGGCAGACCCCAGTTTGATCTTGAAGCACTAATGGGTGTGGTCAGAGAGACTCCCCAGCACTGCCAGGAGGCCCGGCTAATCCCTGGCACCACAGAGTCTGACCGGCACTGCATTCTCAGGTCCTGACTGTGGACTACTGGCCTGGTTGGTCCAGAATCACTGGGAGTGGCCTCAGGGCCCCCTGAGTACCCCTTGAGAGGTTTCCCCCCAACACCAAAAAAAAATTATATATAATCATTACAGTATAGTCTTGGCATAAAAAACAGACACATGGATTAATGTAATAGTATCAAGACTCCAGAAAAGGTAGAAGGTAAATAGGCGAGTGACCAGCTGGGCGGAGAATACACGGTCACCGTCCTCCAGTTATTCATCAATTTGCTAGAGGGGGCCCAGTAACGTCTCCATCGTGAGACTTGTTACTGTGTTTGGCATATTGAATACGTCACGGGGAGCTTGCCAGGCTCTGCCGTGTGGGCGAGACACTCCCGGTAGCTTGCCGGGCTCTCCGAGAGGGGCGGAGGAATCGAACTTGGGTCGGCCATATTGGCCGCTTGCAAGGCAAACGCCTTACCCGCTGTGCTATCGCTCCAGCCCGGGCGGAAAATACGGACAGTAATTTACTGTTACTGGGTATAGGGTTTCCCTTTGGAGCAACAAAAGAGGTCTGGATTTGGTGGGAATGGTTGCAGAACTTTGAATATGTGGAAAAACAACTTACTTAAAGACTTTAATCCTTTTATTCTATGTGGGCTTCCCTACTGGTGCTAGGGAACCCAGAGCCTCTTCTGGTGACATCCAGCCCAGAGGTGTCAGGTCTGATGGTTAAGTATGAGCCAGGTACTTGTGCCAGCAGGGTTGTTAGTATACCTGGTGTTCAGGGATACCCCTGAAGCCTTCCCCTCTATGAACTATTTCCCTGATCCTAGTGATATACTATTTATGACCCCCCTCAAAAAATTAACTGGTAAAATCATTTTTTTATTATACCAAAATACAGATTAAGATGGCAAGCTCCCTGAGGCGTATTTGATATGCCAATAACAGTAACAACAAGTCTCACAATGGAGACGTTACTGGTGCCCGCTCAAGCAAATCGATGAACAACGGGAGGACAGCGCTACAGTGCAGTGTTACAGATTTTGATTAGGTATGTGAGGGGCTGGAGTGATAGCACAGCAGGTAGTGCGTTTGCCTTGCATCTGGTCAACCCGGGTTTAATTCCCAGCATGCCATACGGTCCTCTGAGCACCACCAGGAATGATTCCTGAGTGCAGAGCCAGGAGTGACCCCTGAGCATCGCCAGGTGTGATACCCCCCCAAAAAAAAGATTAGGTACGTGAAATTTAGTATGCTTTTCAGCTTTCACCACATTGACTTACCCTGAATAGTATAAATAAAACCACCTGCAACTCCCTCCACGCCTTCCATGAACTCATGAGGCAACGCACCCTCTCCAGCCTGGGATGAAATACAGGCACTCAGTTTCATTGCTAAAAATACACTTCTTATAGTTCAAAATTTATTTTGTGAAAAAAGTACAATATGACTCCACAGCAGATAAATTCATCTAAGACGCTAGTATACTACACTATCAGAATGATATCAATATTCTACTTTAGTTCTTTGGTTCTATTTTGTTAGATAAATTCATCTGAGATGCTGGTGCACTACACTGTCAGAACAGTATCAGTATTTTACTTTTGTTTTCTAATTATAATCTTAAAGGTCAGGTAAACACAGTAGTAGTTCAGGACTCAGACTTACAAAGAATCGCATATTCTTTCCTTTGCTGGCGCTAGGGGAAGGGGCTGTTACTGACTTTGTGCTTGGAGATCATTTGGGCTTTCACTAACCGGTATCCATTGCATGCAAGGCAAGTGCCTTAACCACAGAAGATTCATTGTTCTATACTGCCTGGGTTAGTGGAGAAGTACATTTAAAAACAAACATATATTAAAATACGCTAAGGTTTGCTAAATAGCTTTCCAGAAAAGATGGCTTACAGTAATGACTCTCAGGACTCCCCCTCCATCATTGACTGTCACTTTGTGGAGATTTCTTGCTGGTAGGCCTTGGAGATCTTGGCTCTCCCACACAATGGTACCTTCAAAGCTCTTTGTGGAAAGATAAATAGTGTGTCAATTGCTTTATTATTGCCAACCGGGTTGTAAGTTTCTAAAGAAAATTTTTGCTGCTAAGATACATCAGTTAAAAATTTTAATTCACTACTCAAACACACCACCGCTAGTATTCTGGTGTCTGTTTTTGAATTCTCTTTTTCCAGGTAGGTCTGAAAAAACAATTACAATGTCTCTAAATATTAATTTTATATGCTGTGGTGCTATCTGTCATTTCTCAGTGTGGGAAAAAAATTTCCTTATGCAACCGCAACCACTATTTACAGAGAAAAAAACAACAACAAAGACGGTTTCTACTACATAGGATGGATAGAAACTTCAGTAGCATCTGAAGTTAATACATTTATATCACTGCAGTTAACTTTAGCAAACCTGGTTCCCCTCATTTCTGCAACATAATGCAGTTAGTGATCAAGTCTGCATAAAAACCATTATTTTTTAAATGTATGTATAATATACCATCGAGTGGATGTATTGTAATTCACTCAAATATTTTTCTACTGCCAGATATTTGGTTGTTATCAATCAATGAGTTATGTTTCAGTATAAGTATTTTCTGCTACTGTTTTGTTTTTAAAAAATTATTTATTGGTTTTGGGGCCACATTTGGTGGTGCTCAGGACTTATTCCTGGCTCTATACTCAGGGATCATGCATGGCGTGATATGATTCCTAATTTGTCATCCAACCAAGAGTAGTTTTGTCATCCAAACAAGAATAGCTTTTTTATGAAAGTTGGTTTCAGGTTTTACTGTACTACTGAAGAAAATATGAAAATAGGAAAGTAAAAATTTGGAAAGAAACACACAGTACACCCCATTTAAATTTGTGACCCCACTGAGACTTGTTTCACACAAAGATTCACGCAATGAAAATATTATATACCAGAGATTTGTATATGACAAGTTAAACATTGACATGTTACTCTAGTAGACTGTGAAGTCTAGAGGAAATAAGATGATCAAAAAACTACCTACTTCTCTCTCAAATGGAATAAGCAATCTTTTTTCTTCTTTCATTTGCTGATATTACATAGACAAACTATTCATCACTATCTTGTTTTTTTTTTTTTTTTGGCTAATATGTCCACTTATGCTCTTAAGTAGTGGTCAGGAGGCCTGAGGATTCCCAGCTAATCCGGACATCAATTCAATGCCCATGGATGCTGTGCTGCTTGGGCCCTGCAGTGCCAGGGATTAGCCGGGTCTCCCAGAGATGTTTGGGGGCATCTAGGACCACAACTGGCAGTGTCAAATGGGGCAGGAGAGGGGGGCTCTGAGGTACTTTTGGTATTGCCCAGGGAAGACTGTTGTTCCTGGAACCAAAGGGGGTCAGCCAAATGCAAGGCATGTGCTTTCACCACTGTTCTACCTCTCTGGCCTCTTCAAATCTTTTTAACGACACCTAGTAAATGGATTTTTTTTTCTGTCAGGGTGTTTCAGTTTTTATTTAAAATGTCATTAAGGGTGGGAGCAATAGTGCAGTGGGTAGGGAACTTCTGTGCATGTGGGCCAACCAGGGTTTGATTCAGCATCCCATGTGGTCCCCTGAGCACCACCAGAAGTAATTCCTGAGCGCAGGGCCAGGAGTTAACTCCTGTGTACCGCCAGGTGTGGCCCCCAAACAAAACACAAACAAAAAGTAAACAGACATGTAAATAAAATAAAGGAGATCTCTGATATTTCTATGTTCGATATGCCAAAAACAGTAAGAAGCCTCACAATGGAGACGTTACTGGTGCCCACTCAAGCAAATCGATGAACAATGGGACAGTGACAGTGATCAACATATGTAGTATCAATTAATTGTTAAATCCAAATCCTATGGTATATACTTATAGATGTATGACTGTGTTACTGCATAAATAGGAATGCTGTTAAGGAAACATTTCTGAATCAGGCTTAACGCTTATACAAACCACAACACCCAATAGGAGAGAGAGAACAAAAGGGAATGCCCTGCCACAGAGACAGGGTAGGATGGGGGTGGGGTGGGGGGGAGGGATACTGGGATCCGTGGTGGTGGGAAATGGTCACTGGTGGAGGGATGGGTATTCAAAATAAATAAATTAATTAAAAAAAAAAGAAAGAAAACATTTCTGGGTTAGTCAGTAGGACTGCTCACTTGTTTCCACATCTTATCTCAGCTGTGTAATGTTTTAGGATAAACTGTAGCTGGTCTGAAATGACTGGGAACCAGCACCTTATTGTGGTTCCATAGCAGTGAGTTTTAGAAATGTTCTCAGGTAAGACTCAAACAGTCTGGAACAGTCAGAGGTGTTGGGTAACATTGGTCTGTCCTTTCTCCACAGGGAGCTTAAGTTTATTGAGTAACTCCCATCACAGTGCTCATGAGGCACACCCAATTCCATCAGGCACTCCCAGTCCTCTGTATTATCTTTAACCTCTCCTTTGTGCTCTACTTCCCCTATCTGTTAATCATTTCATCCCCAAATCAGACCCTGTAACTTATAAAGTCAAATTCTTCTGAGGACTCTGGGTATTCTATATGTAAGTGAAATATTGCTATTCTCTTTCCTTTATGTCCTTTGCATAGTTTATTTTTTAGTGCAATGTCCTTTTTGTATAGACACAGGAAGACAGTTAATGTTATGCTTTTGTATCACGGGAGTTACTGACTCCAAATATTTACTTCTGGGCATCTGCCATATTTACTTAAGCATCAGATGCACTTAGTTTCTAACACCTCAAAATGGGGGTCCCTCCGAGGGACACGGATAGACCCAGGGCAAGCCATAAGCTACCCTGGCATCGAAAAGGAACAGGCTAAGTGCCATAAAGAAGTATAAAAAGTTAAGAGTAACTTTTATCATGACGCAGAACAAAGTAACTGAATAAGGATATTGCTGGGGTTAGGAAAGACTAATCTGGTCTGAGGACTATTGTCTGGGATATGTCCCCAAGATGAGCCACTCTTTAAGATAAATATATCTCTTATTGTGTCCATATAAAATGACTAGAAATATTATTAAGAAGGAAATTTAAGATAACTGTTTAAATGGATACTGGCTAAGGAAAGGAGAAAGCGATACACCATCAGAAAGAATTTCATCCTTGGGTGGATCTCCTAGCAGGAATCTAGAGTGCTGAACATTTAAGATGAGATTTTGTCCTTGAGTGTCTCCGAGAACTTCCCCTGAAGGAAAGGTTTTACATCTGTTCATTGTTTATGATAATGTTCAACCACACCTATGTGTAACTGATACCCCCAATACTTCTTGATTTTGCCATAACACTGTGAGACTTGAATAAATGGCCACTGATTACCAACCAGCCTGGTGGCTCCCGTTCCCTTCTTCATTTGTCTGTTGCTGTCAGCCAGCCATGGCAGGTGAATGGCTGTTGGCCCCAAATGCACCTAGGGGACCCTTAGGTCACTGCAGGCAGGCTGGTGATTCCACCATCAAAGAATATAACATCGAGATTCTTGAATGGATGAACAGTTCATCCCTGGCTATATAATACCTTACAACCATATTGGAACTTAACTCCAGGATTGATGAGGACAGTTGGCAGCCCCTGCCAGTACATAGGGTCTCCAACATATCTCCATATGACTTAGTGCAAGCCCAAAGGTAAGAGTTATGTTTTCAGATATTATCCACACTTAAGAGAAGTTTTATTTAGTTTGGAAATGTGATGACCTCTTTACCATTATCCTGCCTGCATTGTCCCCAACCTCAAGTTTTAGATAAGTGAATGTCTGATTTACTTGGAGAATCAGTGTCTAGTATATCAATTCCCACATTTTACTATCACTAACAATATCATAAAATACAATCTGTTATGAAAACAATCATGTAGTTCTCCACTCCACTGAATAAAACACAGTAACAGGCAAATGCCTTCCATAAAGTGTAGCTTTACTTTTTTTTTTTTTGGTCGGGGGGCATACCCGGCATTGCACAGGGGTTACTCCTGGCTCATGCACTCAGAAATTACTCCTGGCGGTGCATGGGGAACATATGGGAAGCTGGGAATTGAACCTGGGTCAGTCGCGTGCAAGACAAACGCCTTACCTGCTGTGCTATCGCTCCAGCCCCACAAAGTGTAGCGTTAGAACACTGGAGGCAGCTTGAAGCTCCCAGTGCTGTACATTACATCTCGTGGAGGGTGGTATCAGTACCACTTTGGAGAGCAGTCCAGGTAGCACAACATACCAAGTGCCAGCCTTGGAATGCACATACCCCTCCTCTGAGAGACTGTCCCAATAAATTACATCCTGTACCTCTGGTAAGATGAACTGCTCCACGGGCTTGTACCACAGCTTGTTCACCTGCACACCGCAGCTCGGAGGACTAAAACGAGCAATGAAGAGGGCTTCCTACAAATTGGGGGGAAAGAGAGGGAGAAGGCAAGAAGAAATACTTGATATTAGACACTGCACAAGCAATAGTTTTTTGTGGTGTTGGGATAACCCAAGTGGTGCTTAGGGGTCATAGGAGATTCTTGGCCAACTAACTCAGCTGTTCAGTGCTGGGGCCCAACGATGCAGTGCTAGCAACATATTTTAAACCTCTTGTTAAGTTAAATTCCCAATGGTCCAAACTGTGGCTGCTAGAACTGTTCTGTACTTTACATAACTGAGTTTTCTAGTATAATCGTGGCTAAATAAAAACATTGTCAAGAAGTTCTAAAACACTTAATACACATAATCTTTAAAAATCAATACAAAAAACAAACCTTGAAGTGAGGAGCATTATGAATATGAGGTACTGTTAAGCCATTTTTCAAAAAGGTTTAATTCTATATGGTTCAGAATAAGATGAATGACCCCAAATTTCTATACCGAACAAACATAATCAGGAACCCTCTTCAAAAAGAACTTTTAAAAGACATGACAAAAACCAAATGAATATTATAAAGAACCAATTCACTGTATATATATATTGTTTTCTTTGGATTCTTCATTTGTTTCAGGAAAAAAAATGTCCTTATTTTCATACCTATTTTTTTCCCATTGTTGCTACTGTTGCAGGGAACATACCCAGTACCATGCTGGGAGGCCACGGCCAGTCTTGGTGGTGCTAGAGAGCCACGTGGGTCAGGGTTCTACCCCAGGGTACCACATATGCGAACCATGAACTTTACCAGAGGAGCCATATTCTTGGAGGGCCTAAAATATTAAAGTCCTTCCTATTCTTTTTTTCTTTTCCTGGTTTTTGGGCCATACCTGGTGATACACAAGGGTTATTCCTGGCACCACACTTAGGAATTACTCTTCACGATTCTCAGGAGACCTTATGGGATTCCAGGAATCACACCCAGGTCAGTCACATGCAAAACAAATGCCCTATTCACTGTACTATCATTCGAACCCTGTCCTTCCTATTCTTATAGACCAACTTACCACAGGTGAAACTTCTGTTGAAGCTATCAAAACCATGAAGAAGTTCAGAATAAAGGGAATTTCAAAAGATTAACTTAATTTCTTTCATTAACAATCAGCTTCAGGCAATGCAATTCATAATACTTTTTGCTAAATGACTACTTCAGAGTATTGCTATACAGTTGAGTCTGTATCAATGAACCCTTCTTTTTTTTGCTTTTTGGGTCACACCCAGCCGATGCTCAGGGGTTACTCCTGGCTCTGCACTCAGGAATCATTCCTGGCGGTGCTTGGGGGACCATATGGGATGCTGGGAATTGAACCCGGGTCGGCTGCGTGCAAGGCAAACGCCCTACCCACTGTGCTATTGCTCCAGCCCAGTACCAATGAAACCTTTAAATACAATACTACCTGAACTGGGCTGGAGCGAGAGCACAGTGGTATGGCGTTTGCCTTGCACGCGGCCTATGCAGCTGACCTGAGTTCGATTCCTCCGTCCCTCTCGGAGAGCCTGGCAAGCTACCCGTGATGTATTCAATATGCCAAACATAGTAACAACAAGCCTCATGATGGAGACATTACTGGGCCCACTCGAGCAAATCAACGAACAACGGGAGGACGGTGCTACAGTGCTACTACCTGAACTACCTATATTTGAACAGCTTTAAAGACAATACTATGTGAACTATAATTCCTAAACTTGAGTAACATGATAAAGCTCTTTTTAGTCATTATTAAGGTTGGAATCATCATCAGGGTATTTATGTCATTTATGTCATTTATGTCACTAAGCTATGTGTACGTATGTGTACCTAGGTCGAGAGGTCAACATGACAAATGACCTGGCACCCGAGCTGCGCAGGAGGAAGAGAGCGGCTTGGAACGCCTTCAAGAACATCGAAGAAATAGCTAAGAGGACGAAGAACCTCCGGCTCCGGGCACATCTCTTTGATTCCACTGTTCTTCCTGCATTAACATATGCCTCAGAGACCTGGGCCCTACGCAAACAGGATGAGAACGCTATTCAGGTCTCCCAAAGAAGAATAGAAAGAGCTATGCTTGGAATATCACGTTTCATTCAAATGAGAGAACGAATCCGGAGTTCTGACATCCGTCGACGCTCAAGGATCAGGGATGCTGTCTTATTTGCCAAGGTGTCGAAAATCAGATGGGCTGGTCACGTAATGACATTTAAAGACGACCGTTGGACTAGAGCTGTTACTGACTGGATTCCACGGGATGTCAAAAGACCGCGTGGCCGCCCACCTACCAGATGGTCAGACTTCTTCGTCAAGATCATGAACGATCGGTTTGAGGCCCTTCATGTTCCCAGAGCGAACAGATGCCACTGGGCTACACTAGCACGCGACAGGGACAAATGGAGACGTTACTGGCGCCCGCTCGAGCAAATCGACGACTAACGGGAAGTTAAGTGATTAAGTGATGTCATTAAGCATAGTTATAAACTCTTTTAGATTCTGTAGAAGGTGAAATATGAAGTTTCCTTAAAAGTAACTAAACAAAGATCTGCATTCAAGAATACAAAACTTTTGGGGCCAGAGCAATAGTTCAGTGGGTAGGGAGCTTGCCTTGCACGCGGCCAGCCTGGGTGTGATCCCTGACACCCCATATGGTCCCCAAGTCCTCCACAAGTGATCCCTAAGCTCAGAGCCAGAGTACATACTGAACACTGCTGGGTGAGCCCCGAAAATCATTAATACCAAACCAATTCTCTAGGTGTTATAAATAGGCAAAATCATAAAAATATCTAAAGGCAATAGAATGCAAAAAAAAAAAAAGGGCAGAAAGCAACTGATGAGAAATCACCTTGAAGAAAAGAAAGATACTAGATCTCTGCTATCGCTCTAATTTTGGAGGGTTTGGGGGAAGGGTTGGGTGACACTTGGCGATGATGCTCAGGTATTCGAAACAAGGTTATAATAATTGCCACTGCATGCAAAGCAAATGCTTTATCACTTGTACTATCTCTTCAGTCCCCTACTTCGATTTTTAAATGGTTCTCTGTAGGCACATCTTCAGAACAACTAAAAAATTGGATAAAAAACTGTAACAACGGGGACTAAAAACAATAGTATAGCAGGTAGGGCATTTGCCTTACACCCAGCTCACCAAGGTTCAATTCCCAGAATCCCACATGGTCCCCAAGCACTGCCAAGAGGATTACTGAGTGCAGAACCAGGAGTAAATCCAAGGTGTGTGCCCCTCCCCCCCCCAAAAAAAAAACCTGCAACAATTTAATATTTAAAAATGGGCAAAATGACTGGGGACATAATTCTGTGCTAGAGTGCTTGCTCTGCATGTATGAATCCTGGGTTTGATCCCTGACACCACCACTATTCTGCTTATAATAAGGCTACAAAAGACCTCAAGACTTCTCCAAAAGATGTACACATGGTCTACAAACACATGAGGGGAAAAAGTGCAGCATCACTAATTATTATTGAAATGCAAAACAAAACCATGATGTATCATCTCAAGTTGGTGAGAATGGCCAATAAGATTGCAAACAACAAATGTTGGTGAGGGTGTGAAGAAAAAAAGGAATTCTGGTACACAGTTGTTGGAAATGTACCCAAGATTGGATCCACTGGTTTAGCCTCTATGGAAAATGTCAAGGAGTTGTAATTCAAAGGGTCAGTGCATATGCTCAGCATGAGGGGGGACTTCTGAATACCTAGCTGGAAGTAGCCCCTGAGCACTGCCAAGAGAGACCCCAGAACTAAAACAAATAAAAATAAAAAATAATTTCCAAAGCAGGAAATTCCATTATCACTTCCAGCCACTGATCTTCAGATATGAATAAAAGAAAAAATTCAAAAGGATATTTGTACCACTATGTTCCTAAGAGCTCTGAATCAACCCAACTACCCACTGACAAATGACTGGGTAAAGAAACTTACATATACTCAAGGAATATCTCTTTGCCATTGAAAGAGTTGAACCTGTGACATTTGGGATAAAATGGATGGAACTTGAGGTGATATGCTAACCAAAATGTAAATAAGCTGGGAGGGGAGGAAAAAAAAACCCAGTAACACTAGACGCTTGAAATTTCTACCTATTGCCATGTCTCTGGCATGCATATCATGTGCACCAACCCTTTGAGCTAGTTCCTCCATCCAAAAGAAACAAAATTACTATATAAGTCTTATACTCTATGAAATGCAAAAAGTTTTCTTCAGATTACAAAAAATTGTATCATATAGAAACCTAGATATTCAGGAAAGAATGAAGAACAGGAGAAATGATAAATATGTGGACTAATAAAAGCAATTTTCTCTATATTATCATACATTTAGCTGCTTAATGAAAAGTGATATTGTATTTATAGCATGTACAGATATGATGCATACAACAAAGCAAAAAGATGGGGGGGTAACTGGAAATATATAGGTGCAAGTTCCTTATACATGAAGGAATTAATGAATACATTCAAGAGTAAAAAGTCCAAGATGCATACTATAACCCTTATATTAGCCATATCCACACACATGCGCGCGCGCACACACACACACACGCGCACACACACACACACACACAAATAGAACAAAGAGCTACAGATAACAGGACAAAAATGAGAAAACAAAAGTCTAGGGCTGAGCACATGCTTTGCATGTAGGAGGTCAGTGATAAGCCCTGGCACCATATGGACCCTTGAGCACAGAGCCAAGAATAGCACCTGAGCAATGCTGATGTGGCCCAAAGACCAAAACAAAAAAGAAGAAAAATTCAATTAATTCATAAGTGACAGCAATAGCACAGCGGGTAGGGTGTTTGACTTGCATGTGGCCGGCCCGGGTTCGATTCCTCCGTCCCTCTTGGAGTGCCCGGCAAGCTACGAAGAGTATCCCGCCCACATGGCAGAGCCTGGCAAGCTCCCCATGACGTATTCGATATGCTAAACACAGTAACAACAAGTTTCAAAATGGAGACATTACTGGGCCCGCTCTAGTAAATTGATGAACAATGGGAGGACAGTGACAGTGACAACTTTTGAAATTCTTTAAGCTTCCAGTAATACTAGGTTGAGAATTTACAATCTGGCCCAACTTCTTTTCTAGACAGACACAATTATCCATTGGTATTTTCTTCCCAAACCAACATACTGCCTTAAAATATATCCAATCAATAAGGGAAAATGCTGAATTCTCTCAACCAGATATAAATATGTAACTGTCCAACTGACTATTTGCCATTATTGAAAAAGAAAAATGAGAAAAATCTTGTGCAAAACTGTTCATACCTCCTGTTCCGCCTGATAAAGCTTGACGGTGATGTTCCTCTGGAAACCCACATTACTGGCATCAGAAAACACTCCGAGACTGGTAATAACAATTGGATAGAGAACTCGGAAGCTCACACTGACAACTTGGTCTTCAGAAAGACCTGATGAAGTATCTTCAGAAAGACTGAATGCTTCAATTTCCTGATTCAAAACTGAGGAATTAATGAGAAATTAAATATTACATAATCAAACATACTGTAATTTTTTTCTTTTTTTTTGGGGGGGGTCACACCTGGCTATCTTAGGGGTTACTCCTGGCTCTGTACTCAGGAATTACTACTGGTGATGCTCGGGGGACCATATGGGATGCTGGGATTTGAACCCAGGTTGGCCGTGTGCAAGGCAAACACCCTATCTACTGTGCTATCACTCCTCAGAGGGCTGAAGACATAGTACAGTGGTAAAGGTCTTTACCCTGCATGCAGCCAACTCCAGTCTGATCCACATCACAACATATTGGTCCCTGAATTACCCCTAGGTGTGACCCCAGAGCACAGTGCCAGGAGCAGTCTCCAAAAACTGCCGTGTGTGACAGACTCTGCCCAAAACAAAAGGGCTTCAGCTAGGGATGTGACTCAGTGGTACAGCACCTGCCTTGCAGGCATCTTTGACTCTCTGGTTAAACTAACACACACACAATAAATAAATGTTTCAGTAAAATGGCTGTTTCTAGGAAAAGGAAACATTTTGATGTCAAAGAATGAAATTTTTAGCCAGTCACATCTATGTACTCAATGATCAAAACTTTAGTAGACTTTTTTCTTGTTTTGAGCCACTGCTTTACTGGATTTATCTATATATACATGCATATGCATTTAAGGGTAACTGTCACAAAAGAATATTAAAAGGTATCTATTAGCAAATATTAAAAACACAGTGATATAAACAGTTCCTATTGTAGTCACAAATAGTGAATAAATTTAGTTTCGTTCTGCAAATTCTGAAAGTCCTGCTTTTTGTTGGGCAACTTAAAATATTTGTGAGGGCCGGAAAGACAGTACAGCAGACAGGACTCCTGTCTTGCACATGGCCCCTCTGGGTTTGATCTTTGGCATTAGGTTCCCAGAGCACCACCGGGAGGGATCGCTGAGCAAAGAGCCAGGAATAAGACCCAAGCGTAGCCAGGTGAGGCCCCAACCCTAAAAAACAAAGAAAAGTCCCCAAAAGCACTGGACAACATGGTATTTGAGGAGCTGCTGTATGGGCATGTCCCAATTTATTTGTCTCATCAGAATCAGTGTTTGGTTGTGTCCAGCTGTGTCCAGTTCACAGGTACTGGAACAGGTACTGGAAGCAGAAGCCCAGAAATTTGCCCAAGGTCATGTAAAGTGGGAAAGCTGGCAATCAAACCCAGATTCCAGTTCGGAGCTTCCCTACATTCCACCCCTAGATCTTTAATCTGAGCCAAAACAGTCTATTTCAAATAATTTTTTCCGGTTACCATGCACCAATGAGGACAAATTATATAAAGTTCATATGGCTGAGAAATCAGTGCCACTTTAGAGAAGCAGTACAACATCCTATTTTATGATCGTGGAGGGAGGAGCCTCCTCAGCAATGCAGGCACCACAGTTTGGGATGTGAATAAATGTTGAAGTGCTGCTCTGGCCTCGTGATGTCGGGGACCCTCACCACAATCACCCCAGGGGCACTCAGAAGGTCATGTAGTTCTAGAGATCAAACCCATTGCCTTGCGCCTGCAGGACTGGAGCTCTGCCACCCTGACCTTAAAATCTTATTTTATTTATTTTTTACAATGCAGGAGCACTGCTATTTATTCAGCCATTGATTAAGCTGTAAAATCTTATTTTAAAAGATTATATCAGGGGCTGGAGCAATAGCACAGCGGGTAGGGTGTTTGCCTTGCACATGGCTGACCCGGGTTCGATTCTCAGCATCCCATATGGTCCCCCGAGCACCATCAGGAGTGATTCCTGAGTGCAAAACCAGGAGAAACCCCTGAGCATCGCTGGGTATGACCCAAAAAAGCCAAAAAAAAAAAAAAAAAAGGATTATATCAAAGGAGGGTTTTTTTTTGGGGGGGGGGATATTTTTTTAAAATGCCATTTTCCAACTGCTGATCATACTAACACATCAGTCATAAAGGTTTGTATATACACACATTTATAAAATATATACTACTATCAGTATATTCACACTACACTAATTTTTAAACTAAAATTCTCACATTCCAACGAATCATTTAGGCCCCTACCTTAGAGTTCCTAAAATGTTATTTTATACTTAGTACATGTTCAGTAGAATGTGATCAAACAGAATTGGTGGGTCCTGCCCAATTATGTATGTGAGCAGGAAGGGGCATAAAGGAGAAAACTAATTTCAGACATCCTAAGAAAGAAACCCCTGCTTTAAAATATAGTCCTGAAAGTATGGCTCAATTTACTTAAAAAGCTGATACTGTCACTGCCACTGTCCTCTCGTTGTTCACTGATTTGCTCGAGCGGGCCCAGTAACATCTCCACTGTGACACTTGTTACTGTGTTTGGCATCTCGAATACGTCACGGGTAGCTTGCCAGGCTCTGCCATACAGGCGAGATACTCTCGGTAGCTGGCCAGGCTCTCCGAGAGGGGCGAAGGAATCAAACCTGGGTCAGCTGGCTTGGCTGCATGCAAGGCAAACTCCCTACCCGCTGTGCTATCGCTCCAGCCCTAAAAAGCTGACACAACCTTACAAAAAGGCTTCTTTAAAATAAGACGATTAAGCATCTACCATGTCCGAGAAATAATATTAAATATTTTTAATGCATCAACATATTTCACCCTCATGATAATCCCTATGTAAGTACTTTTATTGGTGGGGGGGGGAGTCACACCCAGCAATGCTCAAGGGTTATTCCTTGCTCTGTGCTCAGGAGTGACCCCTCCTGAGTGGTGTCAGAAATTCAAACTAGGATCAATGGGATGCAGGCAAGTTCCTTAATCCCTGTATAATATCTACTGGTCTGGCACCTGGGGTAAATAGCTTTATGTTTGGGTTTGCAAATTCTAAAACTGAGGCACAAAGAGATCAAAGCAGAGAAAGTGAAAGAAAACAGGAGAGTCAAGATTTGAACCCTTGGAGCCTGACTCCAGATGCCATACTCTTAATTACTATGCCATCACTGCCTATAAGAGTGAAATTACATAAATCTGCAAAGAATCTTAACAAATACTGAAGTGATTAGTTGATCTATCAGAAAGGATGAGAGAGAAATTTGAGTGAAAGGTCAATTTTCATCTGATAAAAACAGACCAGCTCAGTCCTCAGTGCAGTGACCTCCCAATATCACACCAGCACACGGTAGTCACTGGGCTGAGGGAAAAGAAGACTTACCTGGATTCGTGATGTTGAGCAGTCTGCAAGAATAAGGGTCTTCCCTGTCCTCCACAGGCACTTCACAGCCATGAGCACCTATTATGAACTTCACAAGCACACTGAGAGATGTTTGCATTAGCATCAGTTATTGATCTTCCTGTGAACGCGCATGCTTCCTCACACCCATTTCAGAGCTTTTACTTAGAAACGTGAGTATGTATTAGGATTAATACTAATTATAATCATTGAGTCTGGCAAAAAGGCAAACCAACCAAAGGCTGCATATCATCCAGGTGCCTTAGGTACCAACCCTCATTGCAACAGAATGTTTTGCTCGTTATCAGCAAAGGCATTTAAAAGCCAACATCAGTAAGATCAGTTTCTCTCACCCACACCTAAAATCATATCTATAGCTTCAATAATCCTGAGTTCTTTTTCAGAAGGTGACCCTTTTGCTCGAGACTGGTCTTTCTATCCAAAAGGAGCCCTTCTCGAAAAGGGAGCTCAGATAAAGAGGGGAACACCAAATAAAGGTGTTGGGAGGACCCTCCCAGGATGGGAGAAGCATGCTGAAAGTAGACTATAGACCAAACATGATTGCCACTCAATGTTTCTTTTGCAAACCACAACACCCAAAAGGAGAGAGAACAGAGGGAAATGAATGCCCTGCCACAGAGTCAGGGTGGGATGGGGGGGTGGGGGTGGGAGGGATACTGGGATGCGTGGTGGTGGTGGGAAGTGGGCACTGGTGGAGGGATGGTATTTGATCATTATATAATTGAAACCCAAGCACAAAAATGTGTAAGTCTGCAACTGTGCCTCATGATGTCTCACTATTAAAAAAATTTTTAAAAAAAGGAGCCCTTCTCCTCTACTAGATCTATGTTGCTTCACTGTTTACCTATGACATCTGTTCTCTATACACTAGAAATATAATGAAGTTCTGACATTAGTTTCTCACTATCATAGTAACAAGTTTCTACTTTCCTTCCTTGTGCCTACATAGAGTGAAGTCCTACTGTAGGAATTATCACTGTAGGAATTATCTAAAATTATAGGCTCTGGCTTCTCATTTCACTTTATGAAAGTCATTTTAGTATCCACCATTTCCACTAAGTAGTCTACTGTAGAGGCAACCGCTGATCTGCAGAGCTAAATCAGCAGATACTCTTCAACTGTTACCTCCCAGACTTCTCTCTGATTCAACAGTGCTGTCCTTTAAATCCTTCCTCCCCACACTCACCATTTTCTGAAGCCCTACTCATTGGCACTAAGGGCTTTCACCCCATTTGTCCAGTAAGAGTGAATGCCAAGAGGGCCCACACCACTGCTAGAAAGGTCTTATAGTTTTTCAGTTTGTTGGGTCACAGTCAGCTGTGCTGAGGGCTTACTCCTGAGTCTGTGCTCAGGGCAGAGCTCTGGGGACCATATGAGGTACAGAGGACTAGACCTGGGTTAATCACCCACAAGGGAAGCACTCTAGGCATTGTACTACTTCTCCAACACTAGAAAGGCCTTTAAAAAAAAATAAACAAAGAGTGAATGCCCAGGACTGGGAGATAGTCCACAGGACCAGAGCTCACCCAAGGCATATACAGGTATCCAGATTCAATCTTTGTCACCTCTCGGTCTCCCTAGCACTGCCAGGTTTAACCCTGGTGGCTCCTACCACCTCCCAAATAAACAAAGACAAAAAGCAATCAAAAAAAGAGTGAAACTCCAGGGCTTTGCCCAGGGATCTCATTCACCCTTCACTTGCTCGGAATGATTATTTACACCCCGGAAACTGGCAAAAGCTACAAATGTAGATTTTACTATTTTGTTAAGAGTCAAGACATAAGAAAGTGATAGAGACATTCTAATCATGCAGCGCATACTTTTAAAAATAGGAGGTTAGGAATTTATTGATAGTTATATTCCACTGTGAAAAGTACAAAAAACTGAGAAAATATCCTTCCTCTTTCCTTGTTAAAAACCATGACCTGATTCAGCAGTCATTCACTTACCTACAAGTAAAATTCTATTGTCTCACATGTTAGTTGTTTTACTCTTACTCTTTAAAGAAAATATTTTAGAACTATCTTCACTTGTCAACTGAAACCATAAATTGGTTATTACAGACACAAGAGTCTGGTAAACAGTGAAATGTCTCTGAGCACTGGCTAGCGGAAATTCATAAATTTATTAAATAGAGAATCTTGTCATTACGTGTAATTGCTTCACTTATTTTGGAAGGATTCCCGCAGTGCGTGGGGTCACTCCGCAGATGGCAGGGATTCACGTGGGGATGAGGCACGAACTGGGAGTGGCAGCATGCAAAGTAAGTGACCTCTATCACACACACTGCACTGTGTACAGGAAATACTGAATACTTTTTTTTTTTTTTTGCCTTTGGGTCACACCCGGCGATGCACATGGGGTTATTCCTGGTTCTTGCACTCAGGAATTACTCCTGGCGGTGCTCAGGGGACCATATGGGATGCTGGGAATTGAACCCAGGTCGGCTGTGCTATCTCTCCAGCCCCCTTAATACATTTTTAACATGATTTTATTACACAAAGGTTTCCAATTAACTAAGGTTCTTAAAATATATGTGGAATCTGGAATCTTCACTGAAATGCAAAATTTGAAGTAAATAAGCACCGCTGTAAGTACAGAACTGCAAGCACTTTCTTTTATCTTTTATAATGACAATTATGGTGAAATACTTTTTTGCAAGCAGAATTTACAGTAAAAGTATAAAAAGGGACAAATAAATTTTCTAATTACACCACTGCAGATAATTTGCCAAGTTTGTGGATTTTTGAAATCTTCTTAAATAATCTTATTAAGTTCACAAAATTACTCTGCCCCAGAAGGAAATTTTTGGCTAATATGTACTGGTTTTCTTTTTTGGCCACTCTGGGCAGTGCTTGGAGGTGACCATGACAAGATCCTGCCATGCTGGGGATGGCATGTGGGGTTGGGGGATCAAACTCAGGGTCTATGCATATGATCAATTGAGCCACACCCCTCGCCTAATTTCCATTTATTTATTTATTTATTTATTTATTGGGTCACACCCAGTGATGCTCAGGGGTTACTCCTGGCTCATGCACTCAGGAATTGCTCCTGGCGGTGCTTAGGGGACCATATGGGGTGCTGGGAATCGAACCTGTGTTGGCCTTGTTGGCTGCGTGCAAGGCAAATGCCCTACCTGCTGTGCTATCGCTCCAGCCCCCTAATTTCCTTTTAAAATATGGGTAGATATCCCATCATGTCCGAAAAACAAAGCACCAATTTAAATAAATTTAAAACAAGAATGCATTACGGCAATAACTGTTGAATGTCTGAATAGTAATTTTATTCATTACATTAATGCTCAGTCTTTCACTCGGTAATTGCTGAGTGTGCTCTGTGCCAAGTTAGTTCTAGTTACTGGGAGAATTAAAGGAAAAAGCTGAAATTGATGACATTGATGAAATCTATATCCTAGTGAGGAAATAATTTACAAATATAACTCTAATAAGCCTAATAACATGCTCACTGGTGATAAGTACTATAAAGAAAAACAAAGCTAAGAAAGAGAAGGAGAAAACCAAAATGAAAAAGGGGGGGCATGCTATCTGCTACGGTGACATGTAAGCAGAGACCTAAAGACAGTGAGAAAATTGGCTCTGAGAATCTCTAGTGCAAGAAAGGTCCAACAAGTGGAATAGCAAGTGCAAATGTCCCGAGGCAAGAGCACATTTAGTGTCTCCCTCGCACCGCGTAAGGTAACTCCAAAATTAGAACTTGGGATTTTACTTTGAGCAAGAAGGGAAATCAACGGAAGGATTCGGAGGAGAAAATTCACATAATTTGAGGATTAGGGTGAGGGACATGGTTCAGTGTTAGTACAGGCTCTGCATGTGGAGGATGAGTGTCTGATCCCTGGCACTGCTAAATTAAACAATACATGAGCTACAGGGAAAACAAAACACAGGAGATCAAAGGTGGAATAAAAAAATACTCAGATAAGGAGATTTCTACAATCATACAAATATGAGGAAGGTATTCTAGAATGATGGAATGGTGATACAGAGGTGGTTAAGAAATCAAGATTCTGTATATGAGCTAAAGGTAACTTTAAGAAATGCTGTTGGACCAGATGTTGCATCTGAAAGAAAGAACAAACAAACACAACACTGATAACATTTAAACAATTCAAAAACCTTGGACCAGAGGGCCAATACAGTGGGTAAGGCTTGCTGTATGGGGCCAACCTGGATTGTTCAACCCCCAGCATCCAACATGGCCGGAGCCATCCCTGAGTGCAGAGCGAGGAGCAAGCCCTGAGCAGAGTCGGGTGTTCCCTCCCCAAAAAACTAACACTGTAGCACTGTCATCCCATTGTTCATCAATTTTCTCGAGCAGGCACCAGTAATGTCTCCATTGAGAGACTTGTTGTTACTGTTTTCAGCATATCGAATACGCCATGGAGAGCTTGCCAGGCTCTCAGAGAGGGATGGAAGAATCGAACCCAGGTCGGCCATGTGCAAGGAAAATGCCCTACCTGCTGTGCTATCGCCCCAGCCCCTCCCCCATCTCCTTCCCCCCAAAACATCTCCCTATAGCCCTCCCCCACAAACCTACCCCTATAGCCCCCCAGAACCCTCTTCCTCTAAGCCTCCCCTTTACCCTCCCTCATAACCTTCCCTTTACCCCTCCCTGTAACCCTTCCCTGTAATCCTCCCTGTAATCCTCCCCTGTAACCCTCTCCCCTGTAACCATCTCTAAACATTTAAAACTAAACATTTAAAAATAAAAATTAAGCCTTATTATTTTCCTGACACCTTACCTTCCCTACAAGTGTGGCATCATACTGGTGACCAGATGAATCTTTGTTATAAAGCTGGTCCTGCTCAAGTTCACCTTCTCCCCCTCTCCTGTGAACTAGTAACATTCAAGTACAACAATGAAAATCCTCAGACTTTTGGACTATACACTCCACTTTGACTCCCAAGGAAGACACTTGCTCATAGGTCCTCAATCTTCCTCAGTACCTCTCCTCAGTTAAACCTGCTCCCTGAAGGTTCATTCATGCAGGACATGCTGTACTTCTCCTTGTAGGGCTGTGAGTATAATAAATTCTGAAATTTCATATGCCTTTCCCAAGTGCAATTTCCATGGCTATATTGAATAATTCTTTAAAACTCAGTTTAAACACCAAGATTCTTGGACTAAGCAACTATCAAACAGGGGTCATTATTTTCTGAGATGGACAGAGTATAAGGGAAGTAAATGTGTTGGAGGTGGTCCGAACTCACTGAGGCTTTCATTTGCTGAATAATCAGATCTATTATACCTGCAACGTGAACTAAAGAAACCTTATTTTAAAAAAGGAATGAAAGCTGCTTTGAATAAGATAGGAAATCTATAAATGTTCATTCCTGCTAACAAGAAAATCCAAGCTACAATTCATCTGAGGAAATAAATGGAGAAGGTGCTGCCTCGCACATAGCTGACCCGGGTTCGATCCCCCAAACCATGTATGGTCTCCCCGAGCACTGCCAGGAATGATCCCTGTGAGTAGAGCCAGGAGTAAGCCTGGAGCACTGCTGGATGTGACCCGAAACAAACAAAAAATCAGAAATATGAATGTCTGGGGAATACAAAGAGATGGAGCACATATCTGGCATACAGAGGCCCTGGGTTCAATCCCTGGCATTGCATGATCTCCCAGGACAGCTGGGTGGGCCGAAAAAGCACAGCATCTCCGAGCCTTGAGCACTCCTAAGAGAGGCCCTGCCCCTTCTCCTCAAAAGAAAACAAAGAAATGTGCCCATTTAACACAATTCTGACAGGGTCTTTCTGTTTATTATCTGTCTCCACATAAATGTAAACACAATCTTCCCTGCCTCTCTCTCTCTCTCTCTCTCTCTGCTTTTTGTGTCATACCTGGTGGTGCTAGGGCTTGCTCCTGGTTATTTACTTCTGCACTCAGGAATTACTCCTGGTGGTGTGGGGGACCACAAGGGATGCTGGGGATAGAATCCAGGTCGGCCACGTGTAAGGCAAACGCCCTGCCACTGTACTATCATTCCAACACCCCCACCTCCTGCTTCTCTTGTACTAAACCCTCACTACCTAATCATCAGGGATGTCTCATAATAATAAGGCTCCTAAGCATAACAAAACTATTTAATGTTAACGCATTATGTGCTACCAAAGGTCAGCCCTGGAAAGGTATTCAAGAAAAAAGAGCATGGTATAACACATGAGGTAGATCAAAAAACTAAACAATAGAAGTTAACTGAAAAAAAAAATTAAGGGTACTTACATAAAAGTTAGTACAAAACAAATCTAGGATACAAGCATATCTAGGCTGACAACTATTCCAATTCTTCTAAAAATTGCTATTTTGAACCAAAGTAATACATAAATAATTTCTAAATAAGATAACCAGAAATAAAAAAATACTAGGCACCTATAAAAAAAAACTATGAATATCAATGAGTATGTTCTCCAACAATCTTCTGGCTGAAAACCTTTATTAGGTTTAACTTACGGGCCAATTTTGATGGCAAGGAAGTAAAATACAGTAGCAATTTCTCCGAGGAAATGAGGTCATATGTCTGAATTAACATCTCTCACTATCCAAGTACAGTTTCATCATAATGCTTTCCTAATACAGAAGGCAGGAAACAAACTCAGAAAACCTACCGTTTACTTAATATTGGATGCTGTGTTAGATGCTTCAGCCAGGTGCTTCTTATCACATTTCGAAGTTCATGGTTATTGCGCGCCGACAACACTCCAACTACCACATCATAATGGTCAGATTTCCACTGAGGAAATGAGGTAGACTGATCTAGAAATAAGCAAAAATAAATCTGGAGTGTCATGTCTTCATTAGTATGTTAAGTTCTTTCGTAGTTTAAAGGTATCTTAGAACAGAGAGAGCTCAACAGGAGGAGTGCACGCCTTGCATGCAGGAGGCCCAGGTTTGATCCCCAGCATGCACCTCGAAGCAATGTCAGGAGTGAACCCTGAGCACTGAGCCAGGAGTAGCCCCAGAGCATTGCCTTTGTGGGCCCAACCCCACCCCAACTAATGTTATATTCATGACTGTAGAAAAACAATACAAAGAATGACTTTTTTAATGGGGGGGTCCCACACCCAGCAGTTCTCAGGGTTTTCTCCTGGCTCTCCCCTCAGAGATCGCTTCCAGCAGTGCTCAGAGGAATACATGCAGTGCTGGAGATCAAACTCAAGATAATTCCATATGTACATGTGCTATATATATATTCTTCAAAATAAAAATGATGATTATGATAAAAACTGATTTGGGAAAGACAATGAATGGGGCCTAATCCATTGCATGGTAGGCAGCAAGAGTCAATTAGGCCATATTTTGGCTCCTTATTATTATTATTATTATTTCTGCAATGCCTTGAATCAAGCCCAAAGTCTCAACCTGAGGTATGCACTCTACCCCTGAACTACATTCCTGACCCAGATCCTGGCTCTTAAATAGCTACAAAAATAGTTAACTCCTTAAGGCCCAGAGCTATGGTGTGGTGGCAGTGTGTCTGTCCAGCCTCTTCAGAAGAGCTAAGTTTGGTCCCTCTAGTAGACTCATGTGCCTAGAGTAATTGCTATGGCATTCTGTTTGGAATAGAAGTGTATTGTTTCTGATGCACTGCAAGCAAGCATGTGCGAGCACTGCAGCTAAAGCACGCAGCTTCCTGGGGATAACTACAAAAAAATGTTCAAGCACTACAACTAAGTGAGCACTACAACAAAGAGAAGGGTAGAAAAAGTAACTTTTCAAGATTTCTTAACAACAAATGGGTATAATAATACTTTTCAGACTTGCAAGACAACTATCTTAACCCCTACACTATCTCTCTGGCCTCTAAAATTTATTTTTCATCCAAATCCAACTTTTTATTGTTTCCCTACCAGTAAACTAGCACTACAGTGCACTATCCTCCTGTTGTTCATTAATTTGCTCGAGTGGGCACCAGTAACGTCTCCATTGTGAGACTTGTTAACGTTGGTGGCATATCGAATACGCCATGGAGAGCTTGCCAGGCTCTGCCCTGTGGGCGGGATATTCTCAGTAGCTTGCCGGATTCTCTGAGAGGAACGGAGGAATCGAACCTGGGTCAGCCTCGTGCAAGGCAAACACCCTACCCGCAAGTAGGTACTATGAACTGGCTTTTATAGAATATCATTTTAATGCTTTGTAAAGAATTATTTAATGATGCGTTAGATACTAGTCGGCTCCTTAAAAAATACATGAGGCAATGTGTCTTGAGAGACAGTACAGTAGGGTAGGACGTATGCTTTGCAAGTGGCCTACCCAGTTCAACCCCCAGCACCCCATCTGGTCCCCCAAACCAGCCAGGAGTGATCCCTGAGCGCAGAGCCAGAAGTAAACCCTAAGCATAGGAAGGAGTTGTGCCTACCTACCCCCTAAATAATACACAAGGCAAGAGACCAAATTTAGTTCAGTTCCCCTAAGATTAATAGCTAGGATATGGCTGCACTAAGATTTCGTCCCTAGTAGTCTAACTCCATTCTTCATCAGTCTATTACCTAGCTACTAAACTTAATGTAGCTCATCTGATTTTTCATTCTGATCTTTTAGACCTAGCCTCACTTCAAGATGTGAGTCAGTTGTGAATGGATTGCCAAAAATGATGGTTTGGAGTTTATTTGTTCCCCTGCCATCCTTTTTGTTGTTGGTGCTGCAATGACTAGAGTTTGCACGCACGTAGCTGTGGTGTGCCAGAGATCCCAGAGAAATGCTGAGTTCATGCTCTGGCATGTGCATCGTGCCTGAGATAGAAGCTGGCCTCACTGGCCTCAGGACTGCAAAGCAAGTGCATTTGCCACTGAGTTATCCCAAGGCCCCAAATTTTCTAAAATTCATGACTGAAGAAACTTTTTTCTTATGTCTACATTATATAGCTGAAAAGTTCTAAAAAAAATAAAAGAAAAAGAAAGGTTGTATATACTGTTGGGGCTAGTTGTATTTTTTTTAAAAAATTTTACAGATTGATTGAGGTTCTGTGATTTAAAGTATTATTAATGATGGTTTTCCTCAGTTGGAACTAACTCTAAATGAGTCTGGATTTGAAGAGGAACTTGAAATTTGTAATTAAAAGTTTTGAATTTGCTTATGTAAAATTGATAAAGACAAGGCCATCCCCCCCAGTCCCCCTCCCACACACACTTTATTTATTCTTTGCTGTGAAATAGCAACAGCAAGCACATTTAGTGACAGGAATGAGGCAAATATAATAGCCAGGTATCATCTAATATTAATTCCAGAGTCATCATGATGCATAGTATATCGATAAGAAGTTACTTGAATTCTTTGTGCCTCCATTTTCTAATGAAACTGATACAGGGTGGGGATCTTTAGGACTTTTATTTAATCTGTTTCAAAATGTCTTTTCAAAAGATTAAAATTTAGAGGAAAGAATGACATTTAACCTAAAAAATCCTGACATCATCAGATACCAAGGTTGCTACACAAAAGTAAAATCTCAAAAATATATGAAATATCCTTTGAAATGCCAAATGATTTTATTTTCAATAATGAAGTCTTTTAGAAATGCATTGTACAAAAGGTAATTTAAACTTCCTTGATGATAAAACCTTTATGGGAAATTTCTCAAATCTACCCCTTTCCCATCATTAACACAGGGGCTGGGCTGCTTTAATCCAGATTTTTAAAATCTTTACCGTAGATGAAGCTCCATGAGCTTCATCAGCATATCCTAATTGGCTTCTCCAGACTTCTCCATATCAACGCCAACCAAGATTTTTCTAAAAATAAAAACAATGGAACTGTGTGGCAGATGAAAATCCCACTGATTCTGGCTATAAGCTACTTTTTGATCTTATTCCACCTCTGTGCTACTGTCAATCCTTCCTGTTTCTAATCCATGTCTAAGCTGCTTCTGCTGAGCTGCTTTTTACTTTACATGCATTTCTTTTTCTTGAAGGAGAGCAAAACAGACTTTGGCATTTTAGAGACCTTGTACTTCAACACGTTGAAGTTAGATTTCATAAAAAAAAGATCATTTTTATAAATGTAAATAGCCCCAAAGCTATTGTTAGTACTGTGATACTAAGTACTATGTTACACAGTATAAAACCCCAAAGCAGAAATTCACTCAATGTGTATGAACCAGGTCCAAGTTTCTAGTAGCATTTGGCTCCACATTTTCATCACCCTCTGCTACATGTTACAAATATAAGATACCCAGGCTGATTCTGGTATTTTGATAAAGAGTAAGAAGTAAACATGAGACCGAAAGACATAATTCTTGGAAAAAGAAATGTAAATAGCCAATAAGCCTATAAAAGATGTTCAACTTCACAAGGAACAAAGTTTAAACTAGGGCAATAAGTACCAGCTTTGTCCTAGTTTCGAATCGACAAATATCTTATTCAGTTATGAATATTTAATGCAAAAGTTCTTAGTGACTTAAAAGAAAACAGCTATTCTCCTAAACTGCTGCCAGGAGTGTAATCTGCTAGTTTTGGAGGGCAATGACAACACATATCAAATACCTAAGAATGTTCAAGTTTTGTCTAGCAATTCCATGTCTATGAGCTTAATCTAAAGTTAATCTGAGGGCCAGAGTGATTGTACGAAGGTTAAGGTGCTTGTCTAGCATGTGGCTGGCTACAGCCACAACCCTGGTCCGAATCCAAGTGCTGCAGAGGTGTGACCCCTGGCACAGAGTCAGTAATGGCCCCTGGGTATCACTGAGTGTGCCCTCCGAAAGAATCATCAGATGCCCATGAAAAGAGTTCTAGTCACTTATTAGCTGTGAATAACAAACTATGTAACTGTACAAACATACAAATGGGGGAATATTTCATTATACTGAACTAAAGAATAATATGAATTACAGTCATGTGTCTCAATGATGTGGACAAATGAGGATCATTCAGAGAAACATGTATGGCTAGTCAGAATTTCATTTTTATTTCATCACCTTACAGGACATAAATGCCTACAGGCTGAAGGTCTAGTGTACTTTTACACCACCGGACCACACATAATAAAGAACCACTTTTGTACATTGCAATCACATACAATAGAAATCTCTTTATGCAAAGTATAACTAGAACACAATACTACAAAAGGCATTAAAATATTATAAACAAATTTAAATATTGTTCTAAATCATATTAAATAAAGTAAGCAGACTAAAAGAACTATGTACCTTCCATATGATCTACTTATCTCATTTCTGGGTTTTTACTAGAAATTTCTGTTTTGGGGGCCACTCCAGGCACTATGCTAAGGGATCACACCTGGCAGTGCTTTGAGGGACCATATATGCAGTGCTGGGGGGTTGAACTGGGGTTAGATGTATGCAAGTACAAGCACCTTAACTCCTACACTATCTCTCTGGTCCCCAGAAAACTCTGAAGAGATGTACCACACTCCTATGTTTAATGAAGCATTATTTACAATAGTAAAGAACTAGAAACATGCTATGCGCCATTCAATACCAAACAGAGAAGATGTGATGGACAGCCACAATGAAATACTATACAGCTAAAAAGGAAAATGAAACCACACTATTTCCAATAACATGGATGGTCATAAGTATTACACTGGTGAAATAAACCAAATTAGCATATAAAGAAAATAAATGGATGAACTAAGTTTGTTTTTTTTAAAAAAACACAAACTTTAGAACTAGTAAATGAATGAATGGTTACTGAAAGGGAAAGGGCAGGGATAAATTGGGATAAAGGAGAATTACATGTAGGGGGTCAGTGAGAAAGTACAGTTGGCAGGGCATTTGTCTACAAGGAGGCTAACCTGAGTCCAGACCCTAGCACCCCATATGGTTCCTTGAGCCTGCCAGGAGTGGTCCCTGAGCAGAGCCAGGAGTAATCCCTGAGCACTGGCCAGGTGTGACCCAAAAACAAACTCAAAAAAAAAAAAAAGGGCTTTCGACTGGAGCAATAGTACAGCAGGTAGGGCACTTGCCTTGCACAAAGCCAACCTGGGTTTGATCCCTGAGTTCTCAAGGAATGGTCCCTGAACAGTCAGGAGTAACCTCTGAGCATTACCTGGTGTGGGCCCAAAACAAAAAGAGAACCGCACATTAACTTACAATGACACTCACCTGAAAAATGTTATAATGCAATGTGAAACAAATTTTTTTTTTCTGGTTTGGGCCATACATGGCTGTGCTCAGGGCTTCTAGTTCCACTCTCAGGGATCACTCCTTAAGGGCTTGGGGGACCATATGGGGTGTCAGGGATCAAACCTGGGTCAGCTGCATGCAAGGCAAAAGTCCTAACCGCTGTACTATTGCTCCAGTCCCATGAAATCAACTTATGAAAATATTTAAATTATACAACAAAGTCTCCAATGGAGATGTTACTGGGCCCGCTCGAGCAAATCGATGATCAACGGGAGGGCCTTTACCTTTACCTTTTATTATTAAAATAAAAAACTACAGGCCTACTGTGTGGTTCCATACATAAAATGTGCAAAAACAGGTACATCTCCACGATTAAAGATCAAGAAGTGTTGTTCCTGCATTCAGTGACAGATGGGAGCATAAATAGAAGCTTCTGGAGTGTTGGCTGTTTTCTTTCTTTTTTTTTAATTAGAGTGCTGATTAGTTGGTTGTGTTGTTTGTGAAAATATACCAAGCTGCACATTTACATGCATTTTTCTGAATGTATTATTATACAGCAAAAAAAATTGAATGCTAATTTCTTCCAATATGTATTGTGCATTTAAAAAGTCTAGTATATACAGGGCAAGTTTTTCTTTGTTTTGTCCTTTACTTATCTGTGTATGTGTCCTTGTATGTATTTTCACTAGACAGACTGTGAGCACCTAGAGAGTGGGGACTACGGTTCTAGCACACACTGAGAATTCTTATCCTCTGTTGAGGGGAGAGGTTTCTTATGCTCTTTCTTGAGTCTCCTTCTTTCCAAATATTCGAGGAAGAAGCGCTGCCTTTCGTCAGATCATTTTTCTATATTAATCATGGAATAATTCTTGCCAAGAAATCATATAAAAAATTCATGCTGTAGTCAAGAGATCTGGCATCTAGATTCCTTTAATACAAAGGCTGCACCTCCAATTCTTCAGCCCCGTTAGCATTGGATTTCAGAAGACACCTGCCCTTCTGGGTTCAGCTCTTAAGGTGCCTCACTACATTTGAAGAGTTCCCATATTAATATGACTCACTCACTCCACTCAGATCCCAGCTCAACTATCCCTGCCTGCTATTTAAAACAGCAGCACAACAGTCTCCTTGTTTCCAGTCTTATTTTTGTCACTGCACTTATCATTAGCCCCTAAGATATTTAATAATTATTTTCTATGTTCTCTTCTAAACGGTGAACTGCCTAAGGGCAGGAACTTTATCTTCATTACAGCCCTAATCCCAACCTACACGGAGAATTGGTACAGAGGTAGCCTCAAATAATTAGTTAATCAATGGCTGAATAATGGACATGAACTCACGTTTCTTTTTTATTCAGAATGTTAATTTATTATTATTATTATTATTATTATTTAATCACAGTGAGATAGTTACAAAGCTTTCCTGTTTGAGTTTCAGTCATACAATGATCGGTCACCCAATCCTCCACCAGTGCACATCTTCCACCACCAAGGTTCAGGGATTATTTCTGGCAGGCCCTGAAGACCATAAGGATACCAGGGATCTAACCCAAGACACCCAATGCAAAGCAAATGTGCTACTCACTGTACTCTCTTTGGCCACTACTAAAAAATTTTTTTATTTGAAGTAGTTGTTTAATATTAACCTAAAGTTAAAGTCAATTTATATAAGTACTTGGCCTATTCCTTCCCAGTCTACCTCCTAGTTTATTGACTACAGCCTGGTCTCAACCAATGGCCTATAGCGTAGAGACCTAACCTAAACACAAAAGGAGTGGGAAGCTCTAAGAAACTGCAGGTAGATCTACTTAATTTTAGGCCTGGATGCAGAGCTCTAGTTTAGTTATTGAGTTAAAAAAAAAAACTGTTAAGGGTGTAAATAGCCTAAGAATGTTTTGCAAATAAATTCCATAGAAATCATGTTTAAAAATAAATACCCCCCCTCCCAAAACACAAACCTACCAGATGTTACAGAGTATTCTGTATTATTGTATACGTGGCACTCTTTCCTCAGCTTAGAAATTCTTTGAAAAAAAAAAAAAAGCCTCTAATTACCGACCAATATAAAAGTCCAAACTGTTAACAGGTTAAATGCACTTTAACAACGAAACTTTCATTAAATCACCAGAATCACTTTATAAAACTCTACTCAAGACACACAAAGAGAGTGCAACCAGCAACTTCAATCAGAACAATCAGAATACCCGGAGGATTGTTTCAACTAGTTCCTATATACCTCCGTGGTTAGGCACAACCTTCTCCGAACTGCAAGATATTGGCTTCTAAATTGAAAAACTTTGGATAAGATGAACGGGGGGGGGGGGGGGGGGGGGCGGGGGGGGGGGGAAGAAAGGGTAGGAAGGGAAAGTTTCCAACAGGTTCAAAACAAACAAAGCTGCCAGTAGCCTCATCTTTAAAACAACCTTCACGGTTTTTCTTTAATATACCCGGGGGCAAACTTTGAACACAAAAATAATGAAGGGGAGAAACAAAACCAGGTAAACCTTCAACCCAGTTCAGCTTAATGGAAATCCAGCAGCGGAAAAAGTCACATTCAATCAACCCGCGGTGGTGGATGGGGGGAGGAGGGGGTACCTAGGCCCCCAGAAGCTTCTTGTTAGTCGGCGGCGCGGAGCACAAAGGTCTCATTCCCGAGAGAAGAGGGAGTTTGGGAGCCCAGGAACTGGCCGTTTTCCTGCGTGCTTTTCCATTAGTAAACTCCAGTCCGCTCGCCGCCCTGCCCTATTTCGAGCTCCTCGGTGCAGCGCTGCCTTGCAGCCGACTTTCCCATTTTGTACATATACATTCCCAAACATCCAGTCCATTCTTCAAAATCCAAGTTTCTCCCCTAGAAGGCACGAAGAAGAGCCCGCCGCCGTGCAAGCACGCACAAGCCTTTCCCCGGGGCACGAGGCTCTCCGGGTACTGCCCAAATAAGACCAACAAACAACAACTTGCCCGGGACCTCGGCGCGCGCGAGCCGCTCGCTGAAGGACACGGCGAGGTGCTGCCCCCCAGGGCGGACGCGGGGCCAGCCCGAGCAGGCCTTAGAAGGGGCAGCCGGAGGGGGCTGCAGTTGCGGACACCGATTCTCGGGCCCCTCCTCACACGGAGAGCTCGGAGGTGACAAACGGCGGGGAGGCGAGATGTGCCAAGCGGCCAGAAGTTCGCCCGGTTTTCACGGCGCCCCCCCCCCCCCCGGGAGGGGGGATGAAAAGGGCCGTTTGGTCCCGGGGACCCTCGGATTTTTTAGTCCGTGTCCCCCTTCTCCGGGACCGCCTCCCCGCCCCCCGCCCCCCCCTCCTCCCGGCGGAGCTCCGCGAAGGAAGCCGCCGGGAGACTCCGGCGCCGCGCTCCCGCCCCTCAGCCCCCGGCCAGCCCTCAGCCCTCACCTGCGAGGTCGTCCCCGGAGGCGCGGGCGGGCGGCGGGGAGCGCAGCCGCAGCCAGAGGTGCAGCGCGGCCCCGAGCACACACGGGCACAGCAGCACCAGCCAGTTTCGCATTGGCCGCCCCCGCCAGCTCCACCTCGCGCCCCCGCCGAGCGCCGGGCTCTCCCGCGTCCCGGCGGAGAGAGAGCGGAGACCAGCCGCCAGGCGGGGAGGCGGAGAACGGAGACCGCCGCCCGAGCGCTCGCTCTCGGCACGGGGTGGGGGGCGTGGGGGCTCTCGCGCCCCACTCGGTCCGAGCTCGTCGCGGACCGCACCGGCCGCGCCGCAGGTTCTTCCGACCGCGGGCGGCGGCCGCAGAGCCGGCCGAAGCCCCACCCCCCCCTTCGCTGGGCCTCCCCGGGCCCGCCCACCTTTTCTCGCTCGCCCCGCCCCCTCCCCTGGCGGGCCCTCCCGCGCACGCCGCTCGTCGGGAGTTGAAGTCCCGTTCTGGACACAGGCGGGGAATCTCGCTACACAATGGACTCTGGAACTACATCTCCCATCATTCCACTCACCCGTTCCCGTCGCTCGGTCTCGAGGAGGCGTGGCGTTGGAGCTCACTGCGCGTGCGCATTCCTTTCTGGTGCGTCTACGGCTCCCGACGGCCAAAGTGAGTTGGTGCGGTGCGACCCCGGCGCTCTTCTAGGCTGTGCCAAACCCTGGAAAAGCGTCGGGAAAGCGCTGGAGCGAAGGTTGCCAGTTATGAGTCCTCAGATTTACCGGAGTAACTTGTTTTTCATAGCACAGAGCCCTCCCTTTTATGCGAGATATCGCTTTGAGTGGAAGGCGGAATCCAACGATGTCTTCTTCTTGGCCTGAAGAGTAGCACGAAGTAGCCTAATACCCTGTGTTTGGCATGAGTCATGATTAGCTCTGGGGTGCATGATTAGCACCGGTTCTTGGCCAGGTGCTTTCATCTAGGCGTACAGGATAAGTAAAACCGCGCTCCAAGGAGGGAGCCGTGGAGCACCACAGCGACGTGCCGGTCGAAGGAAACTTCGACCCGTTTTGTGGAGGCGTAGGACAGGTGCATGCTTCCTCGAGGCTGGACCGTGAGAACTGCGTTTGCGGGCTGCAACGTGCTGTGCGGACTTCTGCTCTCCTTTCTACGTAAAATACCGACCCAGCCACGGGCAGCTGCAGCCCCAGAACATGAGTTCTCTTTGCTCACATTCGGCCCAATGCCTCAGTGCCTGGTGGGCAAAGAGGTGGGCCATTAGGGCACTTGTGTGAATAGGTTAGGAGGAACAGCGAAGAATGAGTGCCTAGATTATACTTTTGTTTTCTGTGTTGTGGAAACAGGTAATTGTATTGCCAGAGAAAGTTATGGTTGGAAGCTACAGAAATGCCTCTTCAAAGGGCTGGAGGACAAGAGAGATAATACAGCAGGCTGCTTAGGGCTGACCAGGGTTTGACACCCAGCACTGCATGTGGTTCCCTGAACACCCAGGCATCCTTGAGCACAGAATCAGAACCCAGCCCGTTATGGGCCAAAATAAAAAAAAATTAATAAAACAAAAATTAAAAGGGCCTGATAGTATAGAAGTTAAGGCACTTGCCTTGCCCCTGGCTGGGTCTGGTTTGATTTCTTTTACCTCATATGGTTTCCCCCCAGCTCCTCCAGGAGAGATCTCTGAATGAAGAACCAGGAGTTGGTCTTGAGCACTATTGGGTGTGCGCCCCACCCCCCTTCCCAAAAAATTAATAGCGCTTCCCCAGGGCTCCGTGTCTAAGTCAAGCCCCCCTACCCTAGTCCTCATGGTCCCCCAAGTTCGGGTCTGGGAGTGGTCCCCCAGTACCTAGGTACGTCCCCACTCCCAAAGCACTACATAATACAGGAAGTGAGAGGAAAGGGAAGCTTAAGGGGGCAAAAGTAAAGTAAGTAAAGGCCCTCCCGTTGATCATCGATCGAGCGGGCCCAGTAATGTCTCCATTGGAGACTTTGTTGTTACTGTGTCTGGCATATCAAATACTCTCGGTAGCTTGCTGGGCTCTCCGAGAGGGGCGGAGGAATCGAACTCGGGTCGGCCATGTTGGCTGCGTGCAAGGCAGACACCCTACCCGCTGTGCTATCGCTCCAGCCCCATTTATTAAAGTAACTAGTTCAGTAAGAGCTGACTCACACACCTTAACACCGTTTCAATGAAGTGGCAATTTCATTTCAGCAAAAATAACCTTCTAGTAAAATTAATTTTTATTTGGGGGGAGGGCTCTCAGGCGGTACTCAGGAGACCTTGGAGTACCCCGCGGGTGGTTCCATTGGAGGAGATGCTGCTTGAAGCCTGCAGTGCCCATGCCAGAGATACCCAGACCTCTTAGGAGGTTGGGGAACTCCAGGGGCACCCCTAGTGGTGCTAGAGTGGGGTTTAGGGTGCCTCCTGGACAGAACCCTGCGAAACTCAGGGACTGCGTGGTATAGGGAAACGAGACCAATGGGGCACAAGCTGGGCATGAAACTCAACCACTGTACTATTTCTTGGCCTTTTGCTGCTTTGTTTTATGTTTGTTGTACTACATTTAATTCTAAATCTGCTTTGGTTTTGGCAGGGATATAATTCAACAGCCGAGCACTTGCCTTGCACGTGTGAGGCCCTGGATTTGATCCCCTGGCACCACACACACACACACACACACACACACACACAAACCCCCCAAAACTAACCCTATTTCAGTTTAATTGTTGAATAAACATAACAAGTCCAAGGAGTTCATATATACACTTATACTTAAAATAATAAAAATAACCAAATATTTTTCTAATAAATTACCCACAAATTCTGTAATATTTGTTCGCCCTCACAGTTTCAGTGGGTGAGGAATTTGCTAAGTTCTAGCTGAGGGTCTCCCATAAAAGTGCATATAGGCAGATGTCTGGGCATGCTGATCAACTGCAGCCTTTCTGGTGCTGGAAAATTGCTTCTTGTGTGACTCACTTAACATGGTTGGTAAGTCAGTGGACCTTTTGTTATCTCTAAGAGGTCTTTCCAACAAATTTCCTAAGGATCCTGTTATTTTGTTGTTGTTGTTGTTTATTTCTGAGAGGGAGGGTGATGCACATCTGGCAGTGCTCAGGGCTTACTCCTGGCTCTATTCTCAGGGACTACACCTGGCGGGGCTCAGGAAACCATATGGGGTGCCAGGGATATAACTAGGTAGACTGAGGGGACCATATGTGGTGCTGGGGATAAAACCCGGGTCACATCTTGATGGCACTGAATTGGGGGTTTAAATGAATCTTGTTTTTTGTTTTTTATCTGTAAGTGAAGTGGTAAATGACCTCTCTTGATATATTTTTCTTTTTGTAATTAAATAATTATATGAATTAGTTCAAAAATAGCAGTCAACTTTAAGTTGATCAGTTCATTCAACAAATATTTAATTGTGAAGATGGTAGGCCTGAGTCCTTCATCTTCCAACTTGCCATCTTGGGCTAAAGAGACAGTTCAACAATGTCCTGAGTACTACAGGGAGCTTCCCCCCTTGACTCCTGAGCCAGAAGGAGCCCCTCAATACTTCTAGACCGGGCCCGCAAATAACAATAACACATGCTTAACTGAGCATTTATTACGTCCCAGGCATTTTTGTAAGTATTTAGAATAAATAGATGAACAAAACAAAGATCCTGTTTCATGTTAATAAGGGTAGAAGCTGTCTATTGGCTATTAATATAATAAATACATTTTACCAGCTTGTAGAAGATACAGAAAATATGAAGAGTGGGAAATTGGGAATATGGCACTTACTGCAATGGGCACATTGCAGTATCAAATAGAAGTGCTTAGGCAACTGTTCAGACTTAAAATTAGCACTAAGAGGGGTGATAAACAAAACCATGATAGTATTTAGCTAATTAAAATGTTGTTCCTTTCCATTATCAAAATGCTTTAACTTATAGGGAGCATTCTGTAAACTCATAGTGCCACTTGAGCAAGAGGAGTTTACACAGAGCATGTCATTGGCATCCTATCAGACTACAAGAGAAATAGGAAGTTTTTTTTAAAAAAAATAATTAAATAAGGGTAGTTGGAGACAGTGAGAGAGAGATAGTATACAGTCCAGACTGTGATGCAGGCAGCAGAGAATGTGCCAAAAGTTTTTTTTTTTAATTAAAAAACTAGGAAGGTGTGTTTTACTAGTATTCTGCGAGTCCCCAGGGTCACTCTGCTTGATACCAGCTGAGCAGGGAGTGTGGGAAGGGGCAGGTGTGCTGAGAATCAACTTGAGGCCTTCACATGCCAGGCATTTGAGCTATCTGAATAGACCCCAGAAACAGTTTGGAAGAACTTTTTAGTCTCTGCAGTTATAACCACCATGGAAAACACCTGTGTAACTTATTGCTAAAGACCTGTTTACTCTTTCTCTACTATCCCCTTATAAACTCAAGACTATCGTGGGTAGAGATCATAAGAGACTCATGATGCAGAATAGAAAGGAAAAATTAAAAAACTCCAATTTGGTGCCATAATATATGGCCTGGTTTCTATCCCCAGCACCACGTTTAGTCCCCTAAGTCCACTAGGAGTGATACATGAGCCAGGAGTAAGCCCTGAAAATTGCCAGGTGTGGTCCAAAAAATGGAAAGAAAGAAAGAAAGAAAGAGAGAGAAAGAGGGAGGGAGGGAGGAAGGAAGGAAGGAAGGAAGGAAGGAAGACGGAAAGGAAGAAAAAAGGAAAGAAGAAAGGAAGAAAAAGAAAAAGGAAGGAAGGAAGGAAGGAAGGAAGGAAGGAAGGAAGAAGGAAGAGTGGGAAGCACCTTAAACAGAAATAATAAAAACAAACCCAAGAAGGTGATAGATGACTTGGTAATTAGGGAAACCAGCAATTTGGTGTGACCTTTAAGAAGTTAGAGCTGGGGCTGCTGACGAGGTGAGCAGAAGGCAGCAGGCAGATGATGTTCATATGCTAGGTCCGAGGCTTCAAAGAATAATTACTTATCCTAAATACTTTTACTTCATTACAAAAAGGGATTTGAAAATGTAGAATATAAGGAAGAAACTAAAACATACCAAATATGAATCCTATTTTTACCCCTATTTTTTCATTAAAATTTGCATTCACAACTAGCCACCAAAGTTTCTAGGACACCCATACCCAGTTGAGACCTCTGTGGCAATCCTGGAGTGGGACATGCCAGTATCCCAAGTAAAGCACCAGCAGTTACCCTCATACCCCAAAGCTGCCCCCCTGCCTCTGGAAAAACCCCACTGCCTCAGAAATAAGCGCTACAGAGAGCCTAATCTGCTGAAAATTTCAGGTACATGGAATTTTGT